TAGACGGAAGAAGTTTCTTCTATACGATAATGGACTGAGTAAAAAAAGGATATAATCTACAGAAGTTAGAACCTGGAATTTGTGGAGTAATATCCACTTTGGAATATCAATGGAACATTTAGAACTTCATCGCCTTTGTTTACTCAGATCTACTCAAATCATGCCACGAAATTCAATACGGTTATTCCATTAGTTTACATTCTAATGAACGACAAAAGTATGAAATACTATATGCACATCCGTAAGACGCTGAACGAACTGTGTGCTCAATTGTAAATCGATCGGCTATTATAACGGATTAGGAACATTTAACTTTAACAATATTTCGACAAGTATATCCAAATGTAATACAACAAGGTTACTTGTTCCATCTAAGCCAATGTATATAGCAGATATTACAAAAATTAACAAACGTTAAACCAACTTTATAAGAAGTGAAAATAACAAAAGAGATCGAAATAATGTAGTTGGAATGATAATGAGGGTGACTAGACGTTGGGAATATGATTTAAAAAGACTAAGTAAAGCAGTATGGATGAAATGATACTGGAATCTAAGATCGATAGGCAGGTAACATGAATGCATCTGTGCTAAAATGAACAACAACCAATCCAAATTCCGATCACAAATATCTCACGACGCCTTATCAGATAATCTCCATCTCCTAAAATGGTTGAAACCAACAGTGAATGACTTCATGGACTTACGACACGTTTTGATTTTGCGTCACCTAGATTTCTTACAACTTATCTCTTACAGTAGGAAGCATCGTTCGTCGAGGTAGGGGATGGTTAGGCATACGTGACACATTCTAATCACCTTAGGCGATGAAGTATCAATACCTCATCAGCCGACTTGTCACCTTTGAGAAATACCCTTTACCTAACCTTAACATCGCTTGCTCGTCCATTCCATAAAATGTGAGTAATACTTCGATAGTCTTCAACGTACGTACGCCTTCTACTTTCAAAGACAATTTTTCATTGTTACAGAGTAGAACAGACAGGACTACTGTGAATCATAAACACCCTTCGATTGGGAAATGGACAACTCACCTACAGCAAAAGTGAGGCAAATTGGCAAACGCTAACCGGGCTCTAAAACTCTAAAAATATAATCTATATTTGCATCTGCATTACTCCATTAGTGAAAAATCAATCATTCACATAACTTCATAATTATTGTTCTTTTTAAAACAAAGAAATATGACATTGTTTACTACATAAAACAATCTGTCCAAGATAATGAGGTTGATGGTTAATTAGAAGTAATTGTACTACCGTAGTGCATACTTCTTATTAAGTGGTCCGAGATTTCATATATCATAAGAAGATTGAGTAATAATTGAGACGTTAGAGAAGAATAAGAAGATGAAAGATAACTGTTCACTCAATAGATATAAAGAAGAAATGAAAAACATCAATGTCATAATAATAATAATAATTCAGTAATAGTCAGTATGGGGTTGTGAAGATTGTTGAATTTCATTGAAATCATGAATCGATCTAAGTTGAACCACTATTGAAAACTTGAACAGATGTGTTGTACTAGTATGGAACTCCTAAGCAGTACGATTCCACGACCTTGCCCGTGTGAAGACAGTCTCCCAATGTCGTAGATTAATTGAGGTTGGACATTAGCACCGTTGAATGTCAGCTCAGTGGGTCTGGAGGTCAAAAAATCATACGCGAGATCAAATTCCCTGGGCTCCATTCCCACATGACAGGTTGTGGATGCCCACTCCTAGAGAGTCTCATAATAGGATGGAAAGGCCGTCAAGTGATCCTAGGTTGCCAATGGTAGTCTGATTTAGATCAATGAAATGCTTTTCAGCTACGACATTGAAAGATCGCCGCGTCATATCGCGAATTGACTCTAGTTGATGTAGTGTACAATAAGATAATAACCGGTTGCTTTTAATGTTCAGGCATTCTCCACGAAATCTGATGGTTATGAATTTGGTTTCTGGAGGAGTTACAAGTGCTTACTGCCGAGGGGTTCACTTCTAGCACTAAACAGACATCACGTATACCGAAAGAGATAAACTCCTGATAAATACCTTCTATCCATAATAATAAGCACTTCGTCTGAAATAATAATAATAATAATGATTGACAATTGAATGTTCAAACCACCGAGTTAAAACTCCACATTATTACGAAATTACGTTTAAACTTTGATATCACTTACTCTAATCCAACTCAATAATTGACCATATACCTTTAATCATACTATTTACAGATAGTTACACCATATAAGTGACCAAACTCAAGCTTAACGAATACATGAACTGAAATCATTGAAACTTGAGCAAAAAAAAACCTTTAGAAACTTAAGAAATCTTGAAGGACTTTCATGTGGATAAATTTAAAAACACGCATATATGTGAAGATTCAAAGAATGATTGGATTCTAGGACAATAGTCAACATTCTGTGTTGATGAAAATATTCAATGTATACGATCTCTTGTATTTTCTTGATATGACGGGATAAAAGATCAAAATTTGATTGGTTGATTGATTTATTCATTATGATTTTTATTCAACATTAATACCGTTTCATTCAATTTGATGATCACTCGGTGGAGGATTCGATTTCGTTTCCCCCTATGACATTTTATTATGAATAACATACGATATTCTTGTATGAAGTATTTTTCATATATGTGATTTATTCGGATTAATAATCAAAAATGGGTGTACAAGCCAATATATAAATGAGTATATTTCCGACTAGACGGGTCAGTATCCTTTGTGTTTCTGGCTACTTGTGAAATACATTTCCCCGTTTCGAACTTCGATTTTTCTCTCTAGTTAACGGGGCTTGGATGTATCAAAATAGCTAGCTTATTGGTTATTGATCACAGAGTCTTTATTCTGTTTGCAGACTAGGTGAACTCATCATCGCTTCAAACATAGCATTTCCTCTCTCACGACTCACTGTCTGGATGACTTTTTCTGAACAAACAATTCTAGCAAAATACAGAACAATAAGATAGCTAAGAAGTTTGAATCAAAGACATCCTAGAAAAGTGTTGAGCTCCTGTAACGGAGTCCATGACCATAAATGTGGAGTGTTCTGAAAGAGTTAAGACTAGTGAATCACAAACTTCTGCAAAATAACATAAGAATTCTTTGAATCTAATGTCATGTATTAGTCAATAAGCAACAGAGCTGTCAATCTGAAGTCACAAACACGTAACAATAAATGCATTTTATGACGTTCACTTAATTAGTAATGCAAACCAAGAATGTTCAGGAAAATTCCTTTTGTTGTCGTCGAGTAAAAAATGATATTACACCTATCGAGTAATCATATTTTACACAAAGATTTTACATAACACATGAAGTAATCAGTTTCTATTTTATTTGAACACGTTTGTATTAAATTCACAAATCGTTTTATTTATAGTTCGGTTAGCCCCCAAATGCCCATGTACGACTGAGTGGGATGAGTCAGCTCTCCCATGGCCACTTGAAAACAACCACTGCTAGGGAAGTCCTACTCACTGCATTCTCGTACGGCGGGTGTTGCTTACGAAAATCAGAGGATGAAAAAAGAATGTTCGGCAATTTTACCAGGTTCATGGACATGGAGAGTTCATCTAGGGGAGTTGGAAAACCCTGATTCCCTGGGATCCGGGACCCTAAGGAAACAAATGGCGTATGAACTTATTGTTGATCACCAAATACCATGAGACTGCAACTCCTTACATTGCTCCAGTGCCTTGTGGATCAGACTTTTAGGTCGAACGCTCTGGGTGTACCCTCCTAAGAAAACCACCTGCTTCGGTCTGGGCACCCGAACAATATCATAGCCCTCACATAAATCGAATGGTGAGAAAAATTCAGAAAGAAACTTTTAGCTTGAGTTAATTTACATTCAGATTCATGGCGATATGTGACTATATAATCATGAAATTAAAGTCGAAAAGGTTCTAATAAGACTCGAATAATCAATAAGCTTCATAAATATGAAATCTCTGATGAATTACCGACAAATTAGGGTCGAAATAGCGTGATCATTCAAAAAAAAAATCATTAAAACTCATCTATATACTATAGTCCCATTCAACAGTTAATTATTTAAGTGAAATCTTACAAATAGGGCAGAATATTTCTTAAGGTTCCAACTTTTATAAATTATTCATCCATATCTAAAAATGAGTACTGTTATATTTATACAACCATTTATTCCTTTCAGTATAGGGGTTTGTAGAAATTGCTAAATGTTAATGAAATTATGAACCAGCTTAAAATAGACAACTATTAAAAATCAGAAGGAACTGGACAGTTGTTTCGTTCAAGCATGAAACTCCTCAACAGTGTATACCGACAACTCTACCAAAGTTCGATCCCAGTGGAATAATAATGATGAATATGCACTGCTGAGGAATATATATTGCTTACCATTTCAATCATTGGTTTTGTTTTATTTGAACACATAAAAATTGTTACAAAGTGGCAACGAATACATATGAGTTACACAAGTCACTTGATTTGTGTGTGGGATATGATACTACCTGGGTGCTTAAATCGAAGCAGATAGTTTTCTTAAGGGGCCACACCTAGAGCCTTCGACCTAAAGGTCTGATCCACAAGGCACTGGAGCAACGTTTGAAGATTCAATCTCACGATAGTCAGTAACCAACAATAGGTTCATACGCCATTCGTTCCCTAAGGATCCTGGAGCCCATATACACCATTGGTTTGGAATCAGGGTTTTCCAACTCCCTTAGGTGGATCCTCCATATCCACCAATCCGATAAAAAAGCGCCAGATATTCGCTTTTCATCCTCTCATTTTTGTGATGCAGTGAATAAAACTTCCCTGGTAGTAGCTGTGTACGTGTGGTCATGTGAAAACATTTTGACAGAGAGATCTAACTCTCCCTATTCTCAGTTGTACCAGAGTATTTGAAGGCATTTGAATCATGACTGAAAATACTATTAAAAAAAATTAACAACACACGATAAACTTAATGAAAAGAAAAACAATAATAAAGTAGATAATCTAATTTATTTCTCATTTTCAATTCATTAACTAATAAAACAAAACAAAACAAAACAAAAAACAAACTTCCACTCACTCATCCACTCTCTCTCTTTGCCTTATTGTTTCGAATATCAAAGCATTCGTTTCATTCATTCATCCATATAAAAAAAAGGATCTGTACAGAAACAAATGTGTATGTATAGCGTGTTAAGTTAAAACAAATAGAAAGTAATCATCATCATCGTCGTCATCGTCATAATACTAGTCATAGTAACAGCTAATAAACGTCAACAAGAAATATCACACAATTAAAAAAAAATGAGAGAAAAATGTTTATTATTAAATTAATCAATTGAAATCAATGGAATATCTTTCAGATCAAATCCAAACACTTAAAATAAGATTATACAATTTGTTTCTTTTTTTTTTTAACAAAATACATTTATAATATATGTGATAGTAATATGTCGGCGCAGTGGGTATATATGTGTTTCTGGGTGGGTGGAGGGTGGGAAACGGAGAGAGAGAGAGAGCGGGGTGGGTGGGGAAGAAACAACTCATATAAAGTGATTAAAACCATAAGAGTTTAAAGAAGAAAAAAAATAGTTGTGTACAGGGATATTGTGCTGTTTTGTAGTTGTTTTTTTTTCTTTTTAATATTATTAACGATTCAACCAAACTTTGAGAAAACTGGGAGGGGTGGGAAACAACCAACTAACCAACCAATTAGAGTAAACAAAGTTTTTGGTTTTAATTTAAAGTAGAAAAAACATACATCAATTATGTAGCCGTTTAACCCTTGCTATCATTTAGTTGTTTATTGATGCATTTGTAAGAAAAATAATAAATTATTCGGTAAATAAGCTTGAACTGATGGATTCGATGCAGTTAATCCATAATGATTTGCTACACGAGCAGCATGACAAGCTAAAGTTACATGATCCAAGATTTGTACACGAGATTCCAGGAGTACATGATGAAAACGTTTATAGAGGATAGTTAGAGAATTCCGATTAGTTGCATCTAAATGAGCGCCACATTTAACCAGAGTATGAACAAGAGAGGCCTACCAAAAAAAAATGGATAACATATGAATGAAAAAAATAAATATATTTAAAGAGAGAGTCAATTATTGAATAGTACTTTAATGTTGAATGTTGTTAGATTGACAGGTATTGGTCGGATTTAGTCGATTAAGTGATCACTAGGTTAATATATCCAAAGAAGATCTGAGACCTGTTTCATGTTAATCGTCGGGACTCGTTAGCTGGGGGTATAACCACAATCTAGATACAATTGACTATGACACAAAATTCAATCACACACGAAACAACAATCCTCTAAAAATCATCCATATGTCACGTAGTCCACTTACGAGAAACATTAGATAATAAGATGTCACTAAGAAAATAAGTTAATAAGATAATGTGTAGGTGAAGAAAATAGCGACTGGTTGTTTACGTAGTCAGACTGCTAAATAGGTGTGTTATTTATTTTCCGATCCCTTTTTATCATTATTGTTGCCGGTTGTTGACGTTGAACTACACTCACGTTCTAGTCTGACCAGTCACGTGTTCTTGATCTTAGTTGTGCTGATGTTTACTATAATAAACACCTGAAGGGTATCAACTAGTGTAGATGTTTGTCTAATGCAAATTATTGTCCCATTGGTGTAAAGGAGAAAATTGAGAGTCATTTTAGTGGCGACGGTAGTTAAAACGGACCTACACGCACATATTCAGTCAAAGTGGATTTTATATCAATAAAATGAATAATCTGAAATCATTATTGAAACAGTAAAATGCTTTTTTCGAATTTTTGGTCAAAAATATGTCAACATCTTCGAAAACCCAGTTATCTAATTGTACTATGACTTCGAATACTGAGATTACTACCATGAAAACTCGGACTTTTTGAAAATGAAAAGTTTTGTAGTTTTAGTCTCCCAAAGAATCCATCCGACCTAACCTTTCTGGGAATAGTAGAGTGCCTGACACATATATTTAATGGACCGATCATCAATGTTTCACATTAGATACTAGTGTCTTCAGCTTGTGAAAAGACCACAGGATGACTAAGTGACGTATGCAAACATCGTAAACCGGGAATGTGAACAGTTCCGAATACAGGAAATATCACCAGATCAGTTTAGATGTTTTATTTTTGTGTGTGGATTACGATCTGCGGTAGATACAGACATCAGAACACGGACGCCACACAAATCACTTGATTTTTGTGTAGGCTGTGCTACTACCCGGGTGCCCAGACCGAAACAGGTTATCGTCTCTAGGTTATAAGTAACAAGTGATGCAAATCCATGACATTGAAATGAATTCGTCTTATTCTGCTAAATTATTTATTTTCGCTTGATCAAAATGGAGATTTTTGTGAAGGTTGTAGATCGGCTCATAAATTCACTTGTTAAAATTACTACGATCTCCACAAATCCTTATTCTGATAATAATCATATGCTCATTATTGACTAGCTTCAAGATAGAACTCCTGGAGTTCTAGTGAGAAGTCGAGACTAGTGGAAACAGTTATCCACCTCAGGCAATGGATGAAGGAATGCGTAAGAACTCGGTGGTCTAGAAGTTAAGCGTTCATGCGCAAGACAAAAGGTCCTGAGTTTGAGTCCCGTGTGCGAGATCGTGAATGTACACTGCTGAAGAGCCCCAAACAAGGTCGAAGTGGTCTTCCAGTGCTTCTGGGTTTTCAATCGTCGTTTAGCCTAGGTCGGCTCATAAATTCAGCTGTTAAAATTTTTAGTCTATCCAAATTTATCAAAGGAAAAAACGCTAGACTTCTTTAATTAGGTGTTTTTGAATCGTGATTGAACAAGGACTCAAAGATTCCTTTTCATTTAATGAAATGAATCCGTATTATATGGGCTATTATGTGGACAGGTACTTCGATGGAATATTGAAATGGCATATTTACAAAATATGGATGAAAATACACTTCCTGGGTTCAACTACCTACCTGAAAAGTAGAAAACAAAGCAGAAAAATTACACATAATTCAATGTGGAATAAAATGTTCACAAATACACACACACACAGATATAAATATGTATATATATATACATACATGTTCAGAACTTTTTAATCGACGTTGTGCTAAAACATGACCAATTGGACGTTGTCCATCAACATCAGCACAATTAGCATCAGCGCCTAATTCAAATAGCAATGATAAAACATTGACATTTGGAAAAGTACAAATTACAAAACGACCAACAGTTGAAGTTTCTGGTGAACAAGCTAAATGTATTAAACTTTGACCACGATGTACTCTAGGATCTAATTTGACTAATCTATAAACCTAGATAATAAATAAATAAATAATAAAGAAAATGTAAATCAATAAATTGTATGAATATTTCTTTTATTTTGACAAACAAAATCGATTAACTTCACAGACCTTACCTTGTTCAAGGTGAAATAATTATTTACTTAATAGTTGAGATCATGAATTAATTGAAGCTAGATCACCATGGAAAACCTGGAAGCACTAGATGGCCGTTTCGTCCTAGTATGGGATTCCTCAGCAGTGCGCATCTACGACCGTACCTCGCGAGATTCGAATCCAGGACCTATCAGTCTTACGCGCGAGTGCTTAACCACTAGATCAGGTTTTCCATAGTGTTCTAGCTTCAAATGACTTATGAATTCAACCATTAAATTACTATAATATCCACATAAAAAACCCTCCTCTGATTATAATTATTTATTTATTTATTGTAATTATATACTGAACATTGAATCTATTCGAAATGAAACAATACAAACCTATCGCTTACATATTAATTATAAAAACAATTAATTAATGATTATCAGAAGGGGTTTTGTGGAGATTGTAGTAATTTCAATGATTAAGATCATGAGTCAGTTGAAGCTAGACCACCATGAAAAACCTGGAAGCACTGGACGGCCGTTTCGTCCTATTGTGGGACTCCTCACTAGTGACTGTCTTCAAGAGGTATATCCTGGAGTTCTAGTGAGAAGTAGTGACCAGTGGAGTTCAACCAGGTCTGTTGTGGGATAGTAACTCACTGAAGACAATGGTGGATGTGTCGCTCAATTTGGTGGATTAGTTGAAGTTAGACATTAACACCGTTGGATGCCGGCTCAGTGGTCTAGTAGTTAAGTGCTCGCGCGCGAAGCCAGTAGGTCCTGGGTTCGAATCTCGCAGGGGGCGAGGTCGTGGATGCGCACTGCTGAGGAGTCCCATAATAGGACGAAATGGCTGTCCAGTGCTTCCAGGTTTTCCATGGTGGTCTAGCTTCAACTGACTCATGATCTTAATCATTGAAATTAATTAATGAATTAGACATTAAAGAATTCAACTATCAATCGTTACGTCCCAGATTCGAGATCAACTTCATCTTGGCAATTTCATTAATAATCAATAACTCCTTGGAACCGGTGCTTTCAACGTGGCATGGTCGCCGGCAAATGCCCTGGTACGGCCGAGAGTGGGGAGAGTCCGCTCTCCCTCTCGAAATGCTCTCACATGGCCATGCGTATATAGCCTCTGCCATGGAAGTCCTACTCACTGCCTTCTCGTGGCGGGGGTGTTGTTTACAAAAATGAGAGGACGAAAAGCGAATGTCCGGCGCTTTAACCGGACCCCAAACCAATGGTGCACATGGGCTCCAGTATCCTGAAGGAACAAATGACGTATGAACCAATCGTTGGTCACCGGCTACCATGGGACTGCATCTCCTCACGATGCTCCACTGCCTTGTGGGTCAGACGTTCAGGTCGAAGGCTCGGGGTGTGGCCCACTAAGAAAACCACCTGCTTCGGTTCGGGCACCCGGGCAGTATCACAGCCCTCACACAAATCAATTGAGATTTGTGTGGCGCATATGTATTTGGTGCCTCCCTGTACCTATATTTATGTGTTGAAATAAAATAATAAAATACAATAACTCCTTGCAAATGAGTTACACTAAACTAATGAAAATTATTCAAAACGGTGATTTGTGATCGATTAATGAACAACAATAGACAGTCCGTTATAGTAAATACTGGAGATATTACATAATATTGTAAATTTCTTTCAACTAATGATTTCACTATACAATACATTGCATTTACGCACATAAACGTCAATGTTTATTCATATTAACTAATTTTTAATAATTAGTCGAAATTTTGTCTGTCTATCAGGTGAACTAATATCAAGTGATCTAATTACCAAGGGTTATTATCTAATGTAACCAGTCGATTATTCATTGTAGTTATGTATTGTATATCGAGTGTTAACAAAACATTAGTATTTTTTTCTATTAAGAAAATCAGAAAAATAAATTTTGTATAATATTGTCTACACTTTACCATGAAGTCACTGACAAGTGGAGTGCGTGAGTCATGTTGGCAGGTGTAAACTACTTGGTTTGGATCTGCGAGATGATAGCAACCAATCGTTAGAGACATTGAATAACATGGCTCAAAATCATTTGCAATGGCGCAGGTACATCCACTCTTTGTGTTCTCCCAAATTCTAATCTTCTGAATCCTTCATGTCCTTTTTTTCCTTCTTCAAAATTTATTTCACTGGATTATACTCCTTAACTAACATCTCCAAACCCTAGTTTATCCGATTTCTGCTTATACTCTTACCACCTCTTCCACTATGGGGTTTGATTGGACAACTGCATCTCTGTGTTAATGTGGTATGGCAACTCGAACTGATGTACGTACGTACGACGTTCTACGTTGTTACTGACTGACTGACTTTACATCATCAGGGTTTAATAGTCCGATACTTCATGTTTACTATATTATGATTTAAATAATCTAGAGTTTAGAAGAGCATACATATGTAACCGATTTTGAACTACATTAGTTGAGGTCTTTTACCTATCAATAGATTGTGAAAATTTATATTTCACGATAATTAAAAGTTCGGCTGGTATTTGCCAACTTACATTAATTGCTGAGTAGGCAAGATACCTGTTCCCAACCAAAGGACGATAGTGTCCTGTACAGTGGTGCGCTCCAGTTTATTTCATGGGTATGAAGATATTTGTAGGTTACTAGTATTCCATCATATAAATCTTCCAAGAAGTGTTAGTACATGTTGGTACCACTGAGTTAGAGAATCTGAGGTTAGACGCAGAGTATTAAAGGTGGCAAACTAAATGACGAGGTGGTGGGTCTTTATTGACCGAGATGGTTGAGATAAATATGACATATGCCCATTCACTATCTACCTAAAAACCTGATAATGGCTAGTGTATATATGGGTTGGGAGAAAGCTATGTGTGGACAAACAAAGACATGGCACTAGTCCATGAAGACATTGAATGTTAATTCATGTCAGAAAGTGAAGACCACCTGGTTACAGTTCATGTGATCAAGGTAACAAATGGCCAAAGACTTTGAATGACGTGAATCAAAACAGTTTACAATGACATAGATTCTTTCACTTTTTCTCTTCCCTCAGATTCTTAGCTTCTCTCAATTACCTACAAGTTTTTTTTCGATTATATTTCCAATTTGTATTTCGTTCTAGAATTGTATCTTCGATGCATAATCCTTTCTATTACTGTTAATCTTGTTACTACATCTACTACTCAAGGATTCGTGCTAACAATTTGATCTCTCTATGCTAATAAGTTTTGACAACTTGAAGCAATGTAAACATGTCCCGGGTTCTACGTAGCGTTTGACTAACTGACCATAATCAGAAAAACATCAATTCCTAATTACGGCTTATTTCAGTAGTCAATAAAGTGGTAAATTAATGACATCCATTGTGGTCCATATATTTTTAATCTTATAATACTATGTAGACAATGAGCATATTATGACTACCAGTAGGTTCATTAACTGCGAAAATCATTATTCTAATTAACGGAAACAATATTATAGAGTGACGTGCCAGACAAAAACATCATTTGAAAGTAGAAAGTCAGTCAATAGACCAATATAAAATCTAGCGATAAGCACACGTTGAAACGATACATCAGCGCGGAAATAAAACATTATCAAAATAAGTACCAACGTTTGATGATGTTATATAATCCAGTGGAATAGATTTAGAAAGAAAATAAAGGACATGAAGAATTTAGAAGATTAGAATTTGTGAGAACACAAAGAGTGGATGCACACCTGCGCCATTGCAAACGATTTTCAGCCAAGTCATTGAAGGTCTCTAATCATCGGTTGCTATCGTCTCGCGGACCCCAACCAGGTAGTCTACACACCTACCAACATAGCTCAGTCCAATTGTCATTGACTTCATGGACTTGTGCCATGTTTTGGTTTGGCCGCCCCTAGCTTTCTTTCAACCTACTCCTACACCATAAAACATCGCACGTCGGGGCAGTCGGTGGTAGGGCATACGTAACACCTGTCCCAACCATCTCAACATTCAAGATATAAAATAACTTTGAAACTAAGAATGCATGGAGTCAAAGAAGAGCGATTACATAAGCGCCATTGAGACTGACAATCAAACGAAGTATAAAAGATAAACGATAGAAAAAAAACAGATTAGAAATGTAAGTTTTCGAATCTCTCCGTTTTTCGTCTTAAGGACTACAATTGATCAGTTTCGGTATCGACATTAGTAAGTAAATTTTATAGAGTGGCTAGCAGTGGAATCTAAGAAGCGTAGGTTTTTTTTCAGTTCGAGACTCGTCAGATGGATGCACCTAGGACATCCCAGTATTGATGTTCACATCGAGACTCAAACCTTATTTCTTTCGCTCTAAACACCGAAACTGTTAATCACTACAATCCAACTGTGCTCAAAAAGATAATAAGAAATATAAAATAAAATCAGTATTACGAATTGAATGAAAGATATATGCTGAATATAACTAGATCACAGTTTTATTTATTTATTTTATTTTAACACATAGATATTGGTACAAAAGAGCACGAAATATATATGCGCCACACAAATCTCATTTGATATGTGTGAGGGTTGTGATACTGCACGGGGGTTTTCCTAGGGGGCTACACCCCGAGCCTTTGACCTAAAGGTCTAACCCACAAGGCAGTGGAGCATCGTGAGGAGATGCAGTCCCATGGTAGCCGGTGACCAACGATTGGTTCATACGCCATTTGTTCCCTCAGGATACTGGAGCCCATGTGCACCATTGGTTTGGGATCCGGTTAAAGTGCCGGACGTTCGCTTTTCGTCCTCTGATTTTCGTAAACAACACCCGTGGTGCGAGAAGGCAGTGAGTAGAACTTCCCCAGTAGAGGTTGTATACGCGTGGCCATGTGAGAGCATTTCGAGAGGGAGAGTGGACTCTCCCCACTCTCGGCCGTACCACGGCATTTCGATGCCAACTTCGAGCCGTATCAATCAATCATTGATCATGATTATCACTGCAGAGTGCAAACAGATAGTGTACAAATACCATCATGAATAAGACCAATAATTAATCACTTCATCGATTGGTTTGAACACCTTCCAAATTTCTTCACATTTATTTCTACGCCAACTAACGTTACATGACAAGTTCTATTACCACATACAATACATATTCATAGTACTATCATCCTTAAAATGATATTCATTACATAGTGAAATGATTAACTTACTTGACGGAAAAATCGTTGTTTCAATTCAATTGGCATACGTTTTTTCATATCATTGGATAAACTATCTGTTTGTGATTCATTTTCAGTAGTAGTATTATTACTAATTAACTCTTGACGATTAAGCATAATATTTGATAAATTCACTGTAGAATTTTGTAATAATTCATTGAAATTCTCTTCAACTACGTGTGTTAAATTAGATAATTGACGTCGAATAGAACGTAGTGTTGGTAATGCTTTACAATTTGGCATATAATGAATAAGAATCATTGCTATAAAATGTAAACATAATGATACATGACGCATTAAATTAATTGCTTCTTTATCCGCTGCTGTATATGACCATGGATGTCGATGATGCCAATGATAAAATGAATAATCCATTCCACTATTGTTAATCATTAGAAAGAAAGAAAGAAGAAAAAAAAGAAAATGTATGTCAGTACACATAATACGGTGTGTGCTACTTATATCGACATTAGCAGTACATGACGTTAGTCGTGAACAGAATATCTGGCAGCAGAGAGACAAGAGGATCGAACAGTAAAGAATGCGAACAGAATGCAATTTGTATGAAAATGCAAGAACAATGAAGTCGGAGTCATTTTGAGACAATTGACGGACATGTTGCAAAATTAAGCATTTACTATATGATTGTTAGACTATATTAACAAGTCCTGCAAGTTTCTGCCAATTACATCCGATTGTTCCCACCCGTGTTCTGTTCACTACAATACTACTCTATTCAATTAAGATACAGATTAAGATTGTAAAAACTACAACATTTTTCGAGTTATCAATACGTTATCTGTTAGGGATGTTAACTCCCCAGAACTCACTTGACAAATACTTTGTTTTTCTGATTCTATTTTAAAAATTTGAATTTCTTGTTTTCGCGCCAAAAGCTCCCATTTTCTCACCTTTATTTCCCATTTGAGAGGACCTTAACTGTTATTAATTCGATGTCTCTTTGAATATGCTATTTTGTAACGCTTCCCAATGATATTTTTATACTATATATATATATATATATATATATATATATATATATATATATATATATATATATAGGCTTGATTGGTATGTTTTTGTTATTGCTCGCGTTTCTGGGTACTTGTGAAATATATTTACCTCTTCTGAACTCGGACTTCTGTCTCTAGTTAGCGGGGCTTGGACGCGTCGGAATAGCTAGCCTAGCTGTCATTGTGTCTTTGTTCTGTTCTCAGATTAGGTGAACTCGTAATCTCTTTAAACATAGCATTATCTCCTATTTTAACTACGCCCCAAACCCCAGTTATAGTAATATGTATATATATACACGTATTTATTCCATTGGCCTTTATTGTTTAAACATGCAGGAAATCAAGTTCTTCAAAACCCTTCCAATCGTTGCTGTTATACATCGTTTTTGAACCGTGCTAGTGCCGCCGCTTTCCACCTATATAGTCTATCTGTATTTAGAAGACAAAAATAAATCTGAAGAAGATAGGTTTGATGATTAGGGAGACTGGTGCTTTCGAGTGCTCATATGATTGCTAGTAAGAAACTCATAGACAAACCCTGTTGAATATTTATAATTCATGAGTGACCAGTGTCATTAAATATGATTGTTCAAGTGCTTGAAAACCTTCTTATCTCTCACGATAAAAGGAAGAATCCACTGGTTATCTTTCAAGAGGAAATTCATGGTAGACAATACCATGAATATAAGGGTTTTTGTAAATGTCACATTTATTTTTAACTAATCAATAATGTATAAGATTCGTATTATTTGCTGAACTGTTTTAGAAGACACAGCATACTGAATACTGTAAAATACAAACAGAAACTTATAACTGATGATAAGTATGCTTTTTCCACTTTATCTATCCCCTCTGTGGTAACAAAACGACACCGATTGAATTATCGTCGCTGTGCCCGAACACATAATGCCGAACCAGCCTGCTCCAAGCGAGTCAATCTTTCTTGGATTTTGAACAATCTACGAAGCATGACAGAAGCCAATAAGTTTAGACTCAATCGGAAGTAGACTTATCCTACGATATTTGTTACAGAAACGAAGTAAACCCTTTTTATGGATAAGAACAACCATAGAAACATTTCACGTTATTAGAACACTCTCCAATCGCCAAATCATTGCAAACAACTCAGACAGTTCGTTAACCAGAAAATCATCACAATCATAAAATAAAACGCCGGAGATAGACCATCTTAACAATTAAGGTTAACATCTAAACTCTAAACTATGACTATCAGAATTACACTTTATTACCTACTAACCTACGCCTGTTACTCCCATTGGAGCATAGGCCAGAGACCAACATTTCCCAACCCTCTCTGTCCAGGGCCTTCCTTTCTAGTTCTACTCAATTTTTGTTCATTCTTATCATGTTTGTCTCCATTTCTCGGTGTAATGTGTTCTCTGGTCTTCCTCTTCTCCTTTGGCCTTCAGGATTCCATGTGAGGACTTGTCTTGTGACGCAGTTGGGTGCTTACCTCAATACGTGTTCTATTCACTTACAGCACTTCTTCCTGATTTCTTCCTCCTTTGCGACATGGTTTGTTCTCTCCCATAGTAGGTTGTTGCTGATGGTGTCTGGTCAACAGATCCGTAGTATTTTGTGTAAATAACTGTTAATGAACACCTGTATCTTCTGGATGATGGCTTTCGTAGTTCTCCAAGTTTCCGACTCATATAGTGGAACTATGTTGACATTTGTATTGAAAATTCTAACTTTGGTGTTGGTTAACAGACAGTTGTTTTGAGTTCGAGATGTTCTTCAGTTGTAAATATGCTACTCTTGCTTTTCCGATCTATGCCTTCACATCTGCATCAGATCCACCGTGTTCATCAATGATACTGTCCAGATATGTGAGGGTTTTTACATTTTCCAAAGCTTCTCCTTCAAGTATGATTCTATTGTTACATGCTGTGTTGTATCGGAGAATCTTACTTTTCCATTTGTGTATGTTGAGACGTACTATTGCTGAGGTTGCCGCTACACTGGTCGTTTTCTCCTGTATTTGTTGTTACACTTTATAGCTACAAGAAATATTATCGAATCAGCTTTTATTTAACTCTTTTCCTTAAGACTAAAATAAGATAGTTATATGTGAATATTCACAAGAACATATAAGTATTAATCACCCTAGAAAAGAACACTATTGTCATATATTTCAAGTGTCTAAGAGTATTTTGTACTATAATCAGAATATCAATCAATATATGCATTATTCAACGTTACTTACCGTTCAATATTATCTACAGCTAATTCTAAACAATCAACAATTAATGTTGGATCTAAATCTTTTGCTGGTAAACCAATACAATTATTAGTTAATACAAAATGAAATAATTCAGCAAAACTAACAAATGCAGCTTGTGATACATGACATAATGGTTCAACAAATGTACGTTGTAATTCTAATGCATAACGCCATAAACTTAAACATTGATGAAAATTATCTGCATCTGCATAAATTGCTCCACGATAACTATACAAAGAAAAAGAAGAAGAAGAAGAAAACGAAGGAAAAATACAAAAGAATAATGGTTAAGAAAATTAGCACTACTATTATTATAATTTATTTAAACATGAGTACAAGGAGGTACCAAATAGGTATGCACCACTTAAATCATTCGATTTGTGTGAGGAGTGGGATACTGTCCGGATGCCAAAACCGAAGCAGGTAGTTTTCTTAGGGCACCACATCCGGAGCCGTTGACCTAAGGGTCTAATCCACAAGGCACTGGAGCAACGTAAGGAGATACGGTCCGATGATAGCTAGTGACCAACAATAGGTTCATACGCTATTCGTTCCTTCAAGATCCTGAAGCCCATGTACACCACTGGTTTGGAATCAGGGTTTTCCAACTCCTTTAGGTGGATCTTCTATATCCACCAAACCTGTTAAGTCACCGGATATTCGCTTTTCATCCTCTCAATTTCTTAAATAACACCCCTCGCGGAGTGCTTTGGTATCTTGGTCATGTCAGATAAGTCGTGGGGCAAATTATTATTATGGTAGACATATTTGTTTCTATGCAGTTGTAGTCGTGTGTAGAAATGTGAAATAGTCTTTAAAAAAAACTACTTATTGTTTGTAATATCAAATCTACGACTTAATTTATTATGACAACTATGGAATGCTAGAAAGTACTGGATAGATGTTTCCACTTATTATGAAACCTCACAACAATCCTCATCCACAGTTCAGAACTTTCATGTCTCGTGACTTAATCAATAACAGTTGTTGATATGTGGTGGAATATGTATTTGGTGCCCCATTGCACCAACGTGTTCAAATAAATAACTAATGACAGTCGTTAATGTGAAGCTTTATCTTCACAGTACCCTATAACTTATTATAATGTATTAAAATATAAAGGAATCATGAAAAAAAACACTGTTCCATTAAAAATAATAACACTTATTTATGCTTTCTTTACAATGTAGTAATTAGATATGAGATTCAATAGGTAAGGGATGGTAAAGGATTTGAAAGTCCAACCCATTGACATGCTTGATGAGTGATTCAAAGCACTTGGTATTCAGCCAAAATATAAGTCTTACTGGTTCGATAATCACGAGGACTCCAGCCCAGAAATCTACACCTATTAACATGGCTCAGTCCAGTCGTCAATGACTTCGTGGACTGCTGCCATGTTTTGGTTTGGTGACCCTTAGCCTTCTTCCAGACTACTCCCATACCGGACAACACATAGAAGTGGGTGGTGGTTGAGTACACGCATCACATGTCCAAACCACCTCAGTTAATGAAGAATTATTATCTCATCAATCAATTTACTATCTTTACCTAGAAAGCCATTCCTAACCCAGGCATTCCTTACTCTGCAGTCCCACAGTTAACGAGCAATGCTTCAAGGATGGTGGGATACTAGTGACTTACAAATATCCTCTACTTCCAGAGATCATGTTTCACACTAATCAATTAAGACGGAGTGAACTGCTGTACAAGAAACTCGTTCTTTGGCTGACAAACGATTATCTTACCTACACCACAAGTAACACAAGTTAGCAAGAACCAAATAGGATTTTTGAATTCCTGTCTAAATTTCGTCAGTCATCAACTCACTAGGACTGATGAGACCTCCAAAAAAGTGTTTGACACCCTCAACTACTTTATTGTCGTTTATTAACTTAGGCATTGATACAGATCATTCCTAAAGCAATATCTTGCATTTGGAAGTAGAGAATCGCATTCTGAACATTATGAACAAGGTGGCCAGAAGACTCTGAATTTTTTCAGGATGTTCATCAGATAGAACTATATCATCTGCATTGGTGTTACAGGAATGTTAATTCAAACGGAGGATAAAAGTTAATACGCATTTTAGAAGATTTGAATATTCTAAGCTCGATAGCTTGCGTAGTCGGTATCGTGCACGTTTCATTCAGAGAATCTCGAAAAATCTAAGACAAAACATCAGCCCCTTGATTTTAACCAACTCTCCGGCACTTATGTGTGCGCTAAAAACAACAAATATATGTAAAATAAAACACTTTAATTACCGGATAAAATAAATGGTATCTGGATGATCTGGACCTAATATACGTAAGCGTATAAGTAATGATTGTAAGCGTAGAACATGTGTATTTGACATTAAACTGGCTAGATCTTCACGTGTTTGAAATTCACAAACATGTCCAAAAGCTTCTTCACCACACTGTTTTAATCGACGAATTAACGGATGATTTTCAGTGGCAAAATGACATACTGGACAAACATATTTAAGGTTATTTTCATTCTGTTAAAAGATAATTGAACAAAAACATGGTGAATAAGTTAAAAAAGGCGGTTGTCACTTTCCAGTTAGTTAACAGCCGATGCAAAAATATAATCTTCCTTTTTGCCCTGATAATCCATTGGGTTATATGAAATACATTTGAGTCTAAGTTCAACAGTTAAACCTAAAGGATAGAGATGGTTGCTGATTGACCGGCAGTAGTATATTCTACCCGTTTACAATATTTCAGTAGCTTAGATAGTAGTAACCAACTAGGTTATCTGGTTTATCTTCAATAAAAATGTTAATTTTTAGGTTCAACAGTTTGAGGTGTAAAATAAAATATGCTAGTCTAACCCACCTATTCTACATTTCACGATCCTATCCCATATGAACTAATGATCTTTCAACATCTAACTAGTCCAAATAGTAGCAAATAGTAACCAATATGAAACTCGCTTAGATAGGGTGTGTAAAAAAGGGTGGCGACAATTCAATGCATAAGAGTTAAGGGACTATATAATTCAGTAACAAAGTACAAACTTATAAGTACTATATTTTTATCCTTTCAAGTTATGATCAACCACCATTATGATATACCGGTTGGAATCATGATTGAATCGCATCTCCTCTACCGATTATACACTAATATCACTCATTTATTATTTTATTGTACTTCCTTTCTGTCGTTTACTTTCTTATCATGTTGCTTTTGTTTGTATGTCAGATACTCTTTTGATATCTAACAGTAACAGAATATATATATATATATATATATATATATATATATATTATTTATTATTTATTTGAACACATAAATATTGGTACAAGAGAGCACCAAATACATATGCGCCACACAAATCTCAATTGATTTGTGTGAGGGCTGTGATACTGCCCGGGTGCCCAAACCGAAGCAGGTGGTTTTCTCAGGGGGCCACACCCCGAGCCTTCGACCTGAAGATCTGATCCACAAGGCAGTGGAGCATCGTAAGGAGATGCAGTCCCATGGTAGCCGATGACTAACGATTGGTTCATACACCATTTATTCCATCAGGATACTAGAGCCCATGTGCACCATTGGTTTGAGATCCGGTTATAACGCCGGACATTCGCTTTTCGTCCTCTGATTTTCGTAAACAACACCCCCGCCACGAGAAGGCAGTGAGTAGGATTTCCCTGTCAGAGGCTGTATACGCGTGGCCGTGTGAGAACGTTTCGAGAAGGAGGGCGGGCCCACCCCACTCTCGGCAGTGGCATATATATATATATATATATATATATATATATATATATATATATATATATACGCATCAAACAGGTATTATAGAACAAAAATGGTAATGTTATCGAACTGTTCAAAATTGAAGTAATTAGAATGGGACTCGAACTTGTAGCCGGAATAATTATTAGTCAAATATTATTTCAATCATTAAACCACCATTTAACTATTATTATTATTATTATTATTATTATTAGTAGTAGTAGTAGTAGTAGTAGTATTGAGTATATTGAATACAATTAACAAAACTTACATTATCATAATTATCATTATTATTATTTGACTCGTAAGGATAAGATACTTTAGAATACTGATTTGCTGAATTGACTATTTGATTTTCATTTGACGAATTTGCTAAAATATGAAAATGAGAGAAGTAAAACAATAACTATGGTATCCAAAATGATGAAATAGCATATGTATGTACGTGAATACGTACGTACGTACGTAAGTACATATGTTGTGTATGTGTGTATGTGGGTAGGTAGATAGGTAGGTAGGTAAGTAGTTAGGGTAGGATAAGTAAATTTGGCAATTAAATTTTATAAAATATAAAAAATATCATCATTTATATTATTTAATGAAATAATTATAAAATTCATGTGATGTAATTTATTTATTAATTATGTTGATTTATGGATTATTAATAGTTTTATGACAGATATACTTATGTTGTTATAAGACAACAATTACTACCGCGAGAAAGTAATGAGTGGGCTATATTACACTTAACTATATGAAAGTATTTTAAAAAGAAGATTGAATTCTTTTCACTTTCAACTATATCATGGTATTTAGGGATCAAGCAAACTAGAAACTTGATTACTTATTTATTTATTTATTTGAACACATCAATATTGCTACAGGGGGGACACCAAATATATATGCGCCACACAAAACAATAAGAATTTAAAGAGAAGGGAAAATAAGGTAAGGAGTGTAGGGAATAAAAAAAAAAGAGAGAACAATAACGACCAGATTAGTGTAAGGTAGTGCAATAGTAGTAATAATGGGGGAAACGTAAAGGTACAATCCGAAGAAATCTTTCAGTTAAGGAAGATACAACCACTTTTTACGAAGAAAGTAAAAGAAGGTTACAGCAAGATCGCCACTGGCTTCTATTCTGAGCCATATCTGATAACGTCTCTAGCCACTATGTTACACCATCTCTCGAACCCCAACCAGGGAGTCGTGAAGGACCAACACAAGCCAGCCCTTTGCAGCTTTCTTTCATACCACGATACCATGTCATATACTGACCACCTCTCCGCTTTTTCCAACCAGTCCCAGAGTCGGCAAATAATGCACGACGAGGAATTCTCTGGGACGATATTCGTAGAACATGTCCAAGCCACCGAAGTCGGTGTTTCAAGATGGTGACATCAATTGCATTATCGTCTCTGTGCCCGAACACACGATGCCGAACCTCTGCATTACTAACATGGTGTTGCCACTGAATGTCAGCAATCCTTCGGAGACAACGATGATCGAACACAGAGAGTCGTCTAACATCCTCAACTCGGAGAGGCCAGGTTTCACAAGCATAGAGTAGAACTGCTCTCACCGACGCGTTGTAGATCCGACCTTTCACAGCCAGACTAACATCACGAAGGCGCCAAAGATGGCCCAGATTGGCATAAGCCGCTCTGGCTTTCACTATACGTGGATTGATCTCATCACTCACGCCACCACCAGCACTTATGCAGCTACCTAGATGCACGAACTTCTCGACTAGCAAACTAGAAACTTTATGACTTACAAGAATAGCTGAACTAAACACTCATATTATACGAAAATAATAATACACGATAAATGCTACTAATGTCATAAGTTAATGTTCATCGTAATAACAATAATAATAATGATAATAATGTTGCATAATTCCAAAAATACACAACATATCCAGCTATATCCATTTAACAGACTAGATAACTATTAGACTATTTACCAAATGAATAATAATGAGGTTAAGTAGAAAGTATGAAATCAAAATGATAAATCTATTGGTGGTGTTATGACTTTTTATCGATTAAAAGAGTTGTGACAATTCTCATATCATACTTCATCAATTTTAACCATGGATTCCTATGTTATCCCTGGTATTGAAACTAAGAGAAGAAGAAATAGAAGAAAGTTAGACATAAAGGATAAACTAGTCTGTTGTTAAACGCCCCCAAATGCCCTGGTAAGGCCGAGAGTGAGGTGGGCCCGCCCTCCCCTTCAAAATATTCTCATACGACCACGCGTATACAGCCTCTGACAGGGAAGTCCTACTCACTGACTTCTCACACCACGGGTGTTGTTTACGAAAATTAGAGGACGAAAAGTGAATGTTCGGCGCTTTAACCGGATCTCAAACCAATGGTGCACATGGGCTCCAGTATCCTGATGGAATAAATGGCGTATGAACCAATCGTTGGTCATCGGCTACCACGGAACTGCATCTCCTTACGATGCTCCACTGCCTTGTGGATCAGATCTTCAGGTCGAAAGCTCGGGGTGTGGCCTTCTAAGAAAACCATCTGCTTCGGTTTGGGCACCCAGGCATTATCACAGTCCACACATAAATAAAATGAAAATGACGATATTTGTGTGGCGCATATATATTTGGTGCTCTCTTGTACCAATATTTATGTGTTCAAATAAATATAATAAACTATTGTTAAACAGAATGTGTTTAGATATGGAAGCTTTCAGGTTGAAGATTCGAAATATAGTGTAATCTATGGGTGAAAACGTTAGGTGATAAGATCCAAGTCTACGAGATAATAATGATGATCATGATGGTTAGTAATAATAATGATTCAAAATCGATCACATTAGTGCTGAAGTGTTCAAACTTTCTCCAACGTCAAAATACAACGTTTACAGTAATCTGTACTCCGTATAAATTACTAATAATTACAAACTTATAAGGAGAATTTCAGGTTAATTTAATAATACAGTTTATCACTATATATATGACTTTCTACCATGTTATAAACGTGTGACTTATTACTATTAATACCACACTGTTTAGTTGTTTTCATGTTTAATCCTTGCTAAAAAAAATAGATCGATATATATAGTGAACTAGACTAACACAATGGATAAGACGATAGTTCAGTGAATACGAGAGTGATCAAGCAAAAAAGAGGTTTAAAAGAGAATCAAACAGCATGATTTTGAGACAAAGACCAAGAACAATCATTGATAAAATATTCTACACTATAAAACCAAACCTATTATCTCCTATAGGCTTAAACATTCATCAGACGTTTCCATCACATTCTACAGGTTCAGATGGACACATATACATAGAAAAGAATGAACGAACAATTCAATCAAAGGTTATGAAATATGTGCCTATAATGCTTTAAAATCAGTTAGTGTTAAATGCTCTGATAAACGTAGAAAGTAGAAAACATCATTCATTGATATAAAAATGTGTAATTGAAACGGGGCATAGAATTGACATCAATAGTTTTTTTTATTAAAAAAAATCCAAACCCTCTTTATGTACACAGAAACAACATGTTGTAACCTTGATTCTGCCTTGGCAATCTTTAAACCAGTTTACAAAATAAGGTAATGTGACAATTTTTCATTCTTCACATATTATATTAGTTTTCTTCACTTCATTATTCATAATTATCACTTTAGGTTTATTCGATCTTTTATTAAATTGATCGTTATTTTTTTTTTTAGATATAAATAGATGGACAAGTATAAGTGTCACCAGAACGTTCGGTACGTATAACGCAAATACATCGTACTTCTTCAACTCGACTCTGTCTTCCCACTATTCTATTATGACGAATATTATACACTCATCTATAACATCTAATTACGTTTATATTTTTCTGTTAATATTTTATGGATAAGCGTGTTTCTTATTACAGTGAAATGTCTACTCCATTGAGCAGCTGCTATCTTGTTTTTTGATGTTCAGTTCAATTTGGGGGGGGTGTCAATAACCTAGTCTCGTGAGTAGTTTATACACGATCACATTGGATTATTCCACAATATCACTAACCGATTAGTGCATTGTGTCAAAAAATATCCAAGTCTTAATTCAGTACACATGTATATGCTTTTCTAGGCAAAAGATAACACATTAGATGGCAAATGTACGGAGTGGTAGTTTAGTGATTCAGATTCCTCACCACTTCAGCTTGAGAAACCGGGCAGAATCACTAGACTTGAGCTTAAAACCAAGCACAGTCCTCTATACATTGGTGGAACAGGATTACAACTGAAATGAGAAAAAAACCTAGTAAAAGGAAGCAAATGATATGTAACTTACAAGAATGATTTACTATTAGTGATGTCTTACAAATGGGACAGGTGGATTGATTTGAAAATAGACTTTCTTCACTTAAATTATTCATTGAAACAAGTATTTGTTTACAATTAGGACATTGATTTATGATTTTGGATGGAGTGAAACCTTCTGTATTATTATGCAATATGTTACTAGTGTTATTATGATCAGATGTTGTCGAAGATCTGACTTGATAATTTTGATGAATAGGCTCCAAAAGCCATCGACGATATCGTGCAATTTGACAACATTTCGGTTCAAAGCCTAAAATAGGATCGACAGGTATAACAGATTGAACAAAAACACCACCAGTACAACTACCACTATGATGTCCTGTTGTTGATAGAGGTGGTGGAGAAGAGGATGAAGATGTTCCAAAATTTAAATAATTCGTTGGTGATGATGATGATCTACAAATACCTTGTGATAATATTGAACTGGTAGAAGAAGAAGAAGAAGAAGAAGAAGATTGATCAAAATACTCACTAGAACCATTACGACGTAAACCTAAACGTGAATTATGTGAACCTTGAAGAAATACTGAACAAAACGGTGGTGATTGTACATCAATAGTATAATCTTTTAATGAATTCGAACGATACAATGAATGACCTAAATGTTCAAATTTACATTGATATGCATTTTGTAAATCAGTTTGTAATTTTTGATATTTTCTTTGAAATAATTCATGTAAATCTTGTGAATATTTTGTGGTAGACTTTTGTCGTCTAGTTGATGGATGAAATTTTGTAGAATGATAACATTTTAATAAAATTTCATGAATTCTTTTAGATCTTTTATGACGTTGCCAATTAGATGTTAATGAATAATGTTGTTCATCAAATCGACTAGTTTCAGCCATACCAATTGCTTCACGTGCTGCTAATGAAATCAATGACCAACAATTATTTGATGAATTAGTAGTTGGAGTAGTAGTAGTAGTAGTAGTAGTGGTGGTGGTGGCGGTGGTGGTTGTTGTTGTTATTGTTGATTGCCCTTCAACACATGACATTAATTCATTCATACAAGAGCATTGTGGTACTGGATGTGGAATAAATTTATTATTACCACTATTATTATTACTATTAGCATTATTATTATAAGTAGACAACTCTTGGCGTAAATTTATTGCATGATACCAAGCAGCTATAGCGTCTTGAATTAAAGAATGTCGATCGAATAGACTAGCACCAAGTAGATCATATGCGGCAGCTTTTTCACTAACACTTATTGTTTGTGTTGAATCAGGAATTTCAACAGTAGCCAAATAATCTACAATCTAGAAAAGTTTATATTTTATTGTATCTTTTTTTAAAAATTGTTTACAGATTAAATGAAGCAGAAATTTCAACAACAACAACAACAACAATAAAAAGAGAAAATATACTTAATCAATATCATGATGATTTGTTGATTAGCTATATAAGTTACAAATTATGTCATCATACATAGATTGAAAATCATAATTAACATTTACATAGAATAGATGAATTACTACCCCCAAATGCCCTAGTACAGTCAAGGGTGGGGAGAGTTACCTCTAAACTCTCGAAGTGTTTTCACATAGTCAAGCGTATACAACCACTACCAAGGAAGTCCTAACCACTGCCTTCTCGTGGGATTACTGTTGTTTACAAAATTTAGAGGACAGAAAGCGAATGTCCGGAGCTATAACCGGGTTGGTGAATATAGAGAATTTACCTAAGGGAGTTGGAAAACTCTCATTCCAAACCAATGGTGCACATGGGCTAGCTCCATTATCCTGAAAGAACAAATGCCGTATGAACCAGTTATTGGTCACCGTCTACCATGGGACTGCATCTACTGACGTTGCTCCACTGCCTTACGGATTAGACCTCTAGGTCAAAGGCTCTGGAAAACCACCTGCTTCGGTTTTGACATCCGCTCAGTATCCTATCCCTCAGAAAATTCGAATGATTTATGTAACATATATCTATTTGGTGCCAGTTTGTACTAATATTTATGTTCAAGTAAATAAATAAGATGAATTAGTGGTTAGTAATGGAATTTAGGATGTAAGTATGTTTCACTCCTATATATTTATCACATTCCAGTGTTGTTATTCACTTCAGAACTTTCACTTAACTGTTAAATTCAACTAGCTACTCTTAATTGTACATATACATTTCATAAAATTATGTACAGAACGGATAATATTGAAGGAAAGATTCGAACCAGTGAATGAAAGTTTGACCAATCTCTATATAAACAATAAACCATAATTCCAAATATATAATGAAACAGTTAAAAGAAGTAAAACAGTATAAAAAATTATGTCCGATGTACAGATATATAACAGTGTATTGAATAACACGGAAGTTAAGAGGAAAAAATATGTAAATCTGTCGCTCAGTAAATCATTGTATATTACTCAACTTTTAACCAATACTTAGTTAAAAGGGTCAACTCATCCTAGTGATTTACTTTAAGATGTTCCTAAAGTTCAACTAAGAAGTCCTAAATGATAAAGATTAAAAAATATCGAGAGTGAAATAGTTTTATCAATATGGGGATTTGTGGAGATTGTAGTAAATTTAACAGTGGAATTCATGAGTCAATCTAAGCTAGACCATCATCGAAAACCTGGAAGTGTTGAACGACATCCTCAGCAGTGCGCATTTACGATTCCGCACATGGAACTCGGACCCCGAACCTTTGTTCTCACGCACGAACGCTTAATCTCTAGACCGATGAGCCGGCATCTAACGGTGTTAGTGTCTAGCTTCAATCGATCTATGACCTTGCTCAACCCTTCATCCATTGTCTGACGAGACCGAAGGTTTGGGGTTCGAGCACTGCGTGTGGGATTCATGGATGCTAGCTGCTGAGGAGTCCCATTGTGGGACAAAATGGCCATCCAGTGCTTCCGGATTTTGAATGGTGGTCTAGCTTAGATCAACGCATGAATTCAACTGTTTAAATAGTTTTCATCAGTGGGATTAAATGATTATTGTACCATATCGGAAATTGATTGAAGATGAAATTGTACCATTGGACGCTGACCAAGTGGTTTTAATGGTTAGACGTTAGTCGCAAGACCTTGAGGTCATAGATTTGATGCCTGGTGGGGTTGTGTTCAATACTAATGAGTCCAATACTATGACTACTCCTAAGTTTCCAATGGTATTTCAATAGAAACTAATCTGTACAAAATAAAGCCTGCAAATCTCAAATGAAGTTTTCAAATGACCAGAGCGATTTCAACCCTGATATGTTCCGCATAATGTGTGTACTTAACACGATTATCAAACAGTATTAACATATATACAACTCTATCCAAAGATACACGAAATGAGGTTATAAAAATTTAATTCCACAAAACCTAAGGACTATTAATCTCACTATCTCTTCCGAAATAATCCCCCTATTTATGGCCACACATATTTTTGTCCAGACTATCTCAGAAGTTAAGTTCTTTGAATGGATTGATTTACCATCTCTGTATCGTCCCAATGAAATTAGTAACGTAGCTGTAATCTTGTATTTGCCGATAGTATATTTCAAATTAATAGAATGAAAGTGCTATTGGTGCTATATTCGACTGAATTACGATTCCGAGGGGGGGGGGCACATAAACTCGAAGATTGTCAATCAAGTTTAGTAATTCATCAGTAAGATAAATGGTACTGAAAGAGCCAGTACTTCTTTTCCTATCTATTTATAACCCCTTTAAAAGATTCCATATTCTAGATGCACTCATTCAAAATCGCTGCTTACAGACCATCTGGAAATTTATATATAAACAACAACCTACCTTAACTCACAGACAGATGTAGACAACCTTAAAAAGTAACCTGCTAAAAACGAATAATACACATTATCTTTGGCATCTTTACACAACAAATTAGAAAAACTGGAAATTCGACAACATACTAAGAATCATTCCGGTAATCACATAACAAATACCCGAAAGCCACTAGCAGTGACAAAAACCCAACAACAAAAAACAGTAGGTTAAGCGTTCGCGCGTGAAACTGAAGGCCCTGGGTTCGAATCCCGCGAGCGGGATCGTGGATGCGCACTGCTGAGGAGTCCCATAATAGGACAGAACGGCCGTCCAGTACTTCCAGGTTTTCAATGATGATCTAACATCAATCGATTCATGATCGCAATCAATAACAAACAAACAACAAAACATATCCAATATAAATTGACAATATCAATTCTTGAAATCATGAATCAATTGAAGCTAGACCACCATGGAGAACCTGGAAGCACTGGACGGTCGTTTCGTCCTAGTACGGGACTCCTCAGCGGCGCGCATCCACGATCTCGCCCCCCCCCCGCGGGATTTGAACCCGGGACCTATCGGTCTCGCGCCAGGCGCTTAACCAACTAGACCACTGAGCCGGCACTCAACGGTGTCAATGTCTAACTTCAACCAATCCATGGTGGTCTAGCTTCAATTGATTCATGATTTCAACTATTGAAATTACCAATTCTCCACAAAACCCATTCTAGTAATATCAATTCTGATTATGATCTTTGATAGTTATTCCAAAAGTGATATATATATATATATATCTTGTCAAAATATAATCCAATGGTAACATTCATATTTCTTTTCTTAACACTAAACAAACTAACTTTTTTGTAAGCTGCATTTGCACCAGACATAATTGGTAATTGACCATATTCATCTTTACGCATAATAGCTCGATGATTTAATAATAATTGTAAACATTTTAAATTACCACTTTCTGTACAATCATGTAATGCAGTGTTACCTTTTAAAAAAAAAGAAAAGAAAAAAGAAAAGAAAAATAATAAAAATTGAAATATAAATGAAAGCTGAATTGAAGTGAAGTATTTTATCGATGAAGGAGTAGTAGCCTAATAGTTAAGGAGTTCAACTTTTACTCAATAAGCTGTAAGTTCGAACCCAGTTCATCTCCATTATGGCTACGATAACCGTGTAGTAGTATATCATTAATTCTTATAATTAAAGTATGATTTGAAGCTAACTACACGATTCTATACATGGTTTGTGAATTAATACTAATAGTAATACTCACTTCTATCTATTACATATCCAATTTCCTTTCTAGAATAATTTAGTAAATATGAATCATTCGTTGCAAACAACAGTTTTCAATTCTTATTCAATTATAATTTCTACGACAGAATAAAAATCTATCTATAATCAGTAAGATAATTAAGACATTTATGAACAGAGTATATTTTAAAAGTTTATTGTTTGCATCAAATAGTATTATTGTACAATATTCTCCTTAAAATTAGTGTATCATATTCATGATCAAAATAATGATCAATCTAAATGGATACTTCTAATGGGTTATACTACTGAATATTTTTTTATTTTATTTTATTTTAACACATAGGTATTGGTACAAGGAGGCACCAAATACATATGCGCCACACGAATCTCAATTGATTTGTGTGAGGGCTGTGATACTGCCCGGGTGCCCAAACCGAGGCAGATACTACTGAATAATAACCATTATTACTGATTCACAAAATAATTTCGTCTTAGATGCAATTATTTTATCCCTTTAGCTACTAACATAAAACTAACCGGCTTATTATTAATAGACTACTTTGTACAATATTGTATCTATAAAATAAAAATGTGATGTTTTCCGTTCATTAACATCAATTCTCTTTGATTCTTTTTCTAATAAATGATTGTCTTATGCAACAAGATATTCCATCATTGAAGAATTTATACCTGATATTATAGTGAACAAGAACACAAGTGGGAGACAATTGAATGTATTTGAACACAAAATTATAGAACATCTTAGTAAAATCAGAAAACCATACAATAAATACTTAATCTGTAAAATGTTAATCAATCGTCTCAGACTTCCCAATTCCTTCGTTTTAAAACGAATCGTTCACTGTTTTCGTTCTTTTTCCTTTGATTTTCTTAATCTTCTGCCGCCAGGCATTTCACTTTGAACTGATGATATACAGAACTTAGATTTGACGACATCAGTAGCACACACCACAATACTATTTATGAATTTCCGATTTCCGTCATGTTGTACACTGCACTCCTAATATATTGATAATAATATCCACTTTACATATCTCAATGAAGCTTGAAATAATGATTTGAAGTTCTTACTTAGTAGTTAGGGCACTCCAATCTTTGAACATTAATGTTTCAAGATCAAATTCTACTTACTACACCTCAATTTGATCAACTGGATGGCAGTAGTTCATGATTATCTCCAAGAACCGACAATAGTGAGGTAATTACACGAAACTAAATAGTTAATTCGTCCAAGTATGCAATTTCTCAACAATGTGGACACACAATATCAGATGAACCGTCAACTGATTCGGTATATTAAGGCTTAAGCGCTCTCTGAGAGACCTGAATACCATGTGTTCAACCCCCGACTGGATAAAGGATGCCCATGGCTAAGGAGTTGTATACTAAGACGAAACAACTGTCCAGTTCCTCCTAGTTTTCAGTGGTTGTCTGACAAATGTCATTTTGTTATGTAGACTACATAATTCAGCAATGTCTATAAACCCCTTACACTACGCATCGTAGCATCGTTGGGACCTAAACAGAAGCATATCTAGAATTTGATTATTAAAACTCTGTACTTGTGTACTGGAGTGAACGAGAACATAAGTGGGGACAACCGAATGTCCATCCAACACCCGGGATGTTCAACGCCTGCGCTCCAGCGACCTGCTGAGTCATCTACATCCACCCAGATTTGGAAATCAATAGGATAAAATTTGCAAGACAAAATCAAGAAACTGAAGTCAGCATCTTTAAACAGTGATATCAATTAAATCATTACCACTGTGTATGAACGTACTATACCGAACGTTGACATTATTAACTTGGTGCTACTACAGGATGATAGAATTTTTTTGGAGACAATGATGATTGAACAAAAAGTCACCAAACAATATCAGCTCGAGGAAGCCAAATTTCATAAATCATAAGCGGAACTTTTCTCGCTGACGTGTTGTAAACCCAACGTTTTACAGCCAGACTAATGTTATAATGGCAGCAGAAAGGATCCAATGGTTCAATAACCCAAGCACATATACATATACGAGTTATGTACTTGGTTACTGAAATTGTATTCAGTTTGATTACTAATTATATGTTAGATAACTATACAAAGAAATGAAAATCACTTGATGTCATTTGCTTTAGTTTTTCTTAACTTGAATCAACTACATTTTCAATTTTTCTCAATTATGTATAAATCAATAGAGAGAACAAGCGAGAGAGAGAAAGAGAGAGAGAAAGAACTAGTGAGTAAGTGAAGAAAAATCGATTTACAACGCACTAGTTTGACGAGCACAAAATTTTTCACTTGATAATAATTTTATATCTATATGAGATATCCGAAAGAGAAATTTGCGTGATCAATTTTTAAATACAAGATTTTAATAATAATAATAATAATGCTATTAAATGTGATTAGTAGTACTACACAAGTACCGAGTTCTCATAATCGAATTCTAGATGTTTCTGTTTAGGTCCCAACGATGCTACGATCCGTAGTATAAGGGGTTTATAGACATTGCTGAATTATGTAGTTTACACAACAAAATGAGATTTGTTAGACAACCATTGAAAACTAGGAGGAACTGGACAGTTGTTTCGTCTTAGTATACAACTCCTTAGCCATGGGCATCCTTTATCCAGTCGGGGGTTGAACACATGGTATTCAGGTCTCTCAGAGAGCGCTTAAGCCTTAAAATACCGAATCAGTTGACGGTTCATCTGATATTGTGTGTCCACATTGTTGAGAAGTTGCATACTTGGACGAATTAACTATTTAGTTTCGTGTAATTACCTCACTATTGTCGGTTCTTGGAGATAATCATGAACTACTGCCATCCAGTTGATCAAATTGAGGTGTAGTAAGTAGAATTTGATCTTGAAACATTAATGTTCAAAGATTGGAGTGCCCTAACTACTAAGTAAGAACTTCAAATCATTATTTCAAGCTTCATTGAGAAATGTAAAGTGGATATTATTATCAATATATTAGGAGTGCAGTGTGCAACATGACGGAAATAGTAGATGTATCCTGCTGAATAATATCAAACTATCTCGAGAAGTTAAATGTTCCTCAGTTTCCTACAATTCTCCAGCCAGTCAGTCAGTTACAACGTAGGACCAGGCACATTTGCGCATCGGTCTAAGTTGCCACACCTCATTAGCACAGCAAGATGGACGCCAAATTCACAGAAGCAATCAACTCAATGGTGGTAATATATAAATGAAAAACTGCATATAAGGATATAGTGCAGGAAGAAAGTTAGTTCGTAGAAAGAATGTACGGAATAATTTTATTCTCACAGTTTAATGGAAGACAGAGAGTGTATACACCTACGCCACTGTGATCGATTCTGAGCCATATCACCCACAGTATCCAACCATTGGTTACGATAGTCACGCGGACCACAACCAAGTAGTCTGCATCTACCAATATGGCTAAGACTAGAAGTTAGTGACTTCAAGCACTGATGCCACGTTTTGGTTTGGCCGCCTCTAACTTTCTCCCAACCATCCCCAACACTAGTGAGCATTGCGCGTCGTGGTAACCGGTGTTCAGGAATACGCAACACGTGGCTCAAACATCTCAGTCGATGAAGATTCACAACCTCACCAACTGATTTACCATCATCATTCCCTAAAACCCCGCGTCTAACCGCACTATTACTTACCCGGTGATCCCAGCAGATGGGAGCAATATTTCTAAGATACCTGTGGTCAACTACTAGTAGCTTACAAGTATCTTCGACTGTTAAAGGCCACGTTTCACAGCCGTAAAATAAAACAGAACAAACTGCTGTGCAGTATACTCGTCCTTCTATTGATAAACGGATATCTCGCCTTCGCCATAGGTGACGTTGTAGTGAAATAAAACACCAGTGGGGACAATCCAATGTATTTAACAACAAATTACAGAGCTAGTTAGTAAAATCAAACAACCATATATTGAATCGTTAATTTGCACATTGTTCATCAATTGTCTCAAATCACTCAGAATCCCCTTGTTCTTGAATTTTCATACAAATTGCATTCTGTCTTCATTCTTTATTGTTCAATCTTCTTATCTCTCTGCCGCCAGACATTCTGTTCAGTGCTCACGTCATATACTACTTATGTCTACATAAGTAGCACACACCACACTCGTCCCCCCTTTAAAAGCATTCGTTCTTGCGGTGGTTCCTGCTCGCCGTGCAACATTCTTCCATCTGCAGTCTGTGCTACGCCCTCCGCCAAAATGTCGAGTCTGCGGCGCGCTGACCTCCATAGCTACGTCGACCTGCCGGGGAACCAACATCCGACCCCCACCCGGCACCTGGGACGTTTACACCCGCGCTCCTCCGGCCTGCCGAGCCATCTACATCCGACGTCCGCCCGGCAGCCGCACGTCCCACCGCTCCTCTCCGTCGACAACACCTGCTACAGCCAACGCCGCCCAGCCAGAACACTCCACCGGACGCCACCTCCACGCACCAGACTGCCCCAACCTGCACCTCAGCTCCAGGCCCGCAACGGCGTCCGCAGAACAGCACCCTCCTCCTCTCCTGGTTGGCAGCGACACCAAATGTAGTGAAATAAAACACCAGTGGGGACAATCCAATGTATTTAACAACAAATTACAGAGCTAGTTAGTAAAATCAAACAACCATATATTGAATCGTTAATTTGCACATTGTTCATCAATTGTCTCAAATCACTCAGAATCCCCTTGTTCTTGAATTTTCATACAAATTGCATTCTGTCTTCATTCTTTATTGTTCAATCTTCTTATCTCTCTGCCGCCAGACATTCTGTTCAGTGCTCACGTCATATACTACTTATGTCTACATAAGTAGCACACACCACAACGTAAGTTGGCGAAAGCCAAACGAGCTTTTCGAATCCGTGCTGAGATTTCGTCAGACACCAACCCATTAGGGCTAATCAGACTTCTAATATTAGTTTACAAACAAAACTGACTTCAAATTACTTAACTATTACTTCATTCATGCATGATTGTATCAAATCGTTAGTCAGTTAAGAGATAGACATACAAATATACAAGGAAATTAACGGACTAACCTTTGGCACTTCTTCGATTAACTCGAGCATTTTTACTAAGTAGATATTCTACAATACTATCATGACGACGATAACAACTAATCATGAGACAAGTATGCCCGTGGCGATTTGGATTTTCAATATTTGCTCCATGTTCAACAAGATATCGAACAACCTTTGTAGAATGAAAAAAAAAAGATTATTCAAATAGACAAAAAGAAATCTTTTTTTAAAGAAAAGCACGAATCTTGTACAACGATGCACTAATTCCAAATTAACATTTACCATACACTCAACTATGGTTTTACTCACTGTATTACTATTAGAAAAGATTTGAAATGTCACGTTGTTAATAATCTTAACGAAGTCTTGAGCAATCCGTTTCGGCACATTTATTCATCATTTACTTATTTAAACACATAAGCATTGTTACAAGGAGGCACCAAATAGATATACGCTACATAAATCATTCGATTTGTGTGAGGGCTGGAATACTGACCGGGTGCCAAAACCGAAGCAGGTGGTTTACTTAGCACGCCACATCCATGTGCACCATTAGTTTGGAATGAATGTTTTCCAACTCTCCTTGATGGATCCTTCATATCTATCAACCTGGTTAAAGCGCCAAACATTTGTTTTGTGTCCTCTCAATTTCGTAAACAACAGTAATGCCGCGAGAAGGCAGTGATTGTATACACGTAGCCATGTGAGAGCATTTTGAGAGGGAGAGCTGACTCTCCCCTCTCGACGGTACCAGGGCATTTGGGAGCGTTTTGGCACATATGTATTCTGTGAGGACTGGTTGCATATATATGTTATGTAGCAAGTTTTTCATAAAGCAGATGGACCAGTGTCTAGCAGTGGAATTCGGAAGTACATCGCTTCGTCCTGACTGGGACTCATCAGTTACATGTACTAGTGTAATAGTGTTAATGTTCACACCTAGATTTAAACCCATTCCCTTTCGTCTCAAATCCCCAATGAGTTAATCACTGAACTCTTGAGTCCAAATAACAACTCGCTTGCAGCATTATTAGAAAAGATTTGAATTAATCTGTTGTTTATCTTGACTGGATTTTACTACTAGCCACAAATCCATGTATTTTGTGAGAAAAAAGAGGTAGAGTCATAGTTTTTGCGAGGTAAATTCAACAGGGTGCATACGTACTAACAAAGTGATTAAAATTTAGTCAATATTACCAACAACTTGATAATTAAAATCCTTTCTAATTATGACAGAAATAACATACCGGTTGCACAAGCGAGTGGCTATCTGAACTCAATAGTTCAGTGAATAACTCATCGAAGATTTGCGACGAAAGGGAATGGGTTTAAATCTAGATGTGAACATTAACACTATTACACTAGTACATGTAACTGATGAGTTCCAGTCAGGATGAAGCGGCACACATCCGAATTCCACTGCTAAACACTAATTCATTTACTCACTTCAATCCAATCAGATACAAACTATGCTCCGAAACGCTTATCCAAACACTTGTCTTACTATCATCATTCGGTAAGCTTCTTGACAATAACACAAAGTGTGCAGTATGCTTTTGTTTTATAGAGATAAAGAAAAGATTTATCAAGTTTGAGAATAAATAACGTATAGAAATCGATTATTTAAATCGAGCAGTTCAAAAAAGCGACTGCATATCACTCAAATTTTAACATGGAAAAATCTGTAAACATATATCATATCTTTCTGAGAAAGAAACATACTTGTTCATGTCCATCAAAGCAAGCAGCACGAAGAGCTGTTGAATTAGTAATCGTTGTTCGATTAACGTCTGCGCCACGACTAATTAGCAATTCAACTAATTTCAAATGTCCAGCTGCTGAAGCACACCATAATGGAGGTACACCTTCTACTTGTTCTCCTTCAAATTCTACAACACCAACCTGGGGGAAATATGCGAGCAAAAAAGAATGAGTTAACCTTCATTATGTAAATTCTGTGACCGCAAATTTAAGTAGGATACGTTTCTAACAAAATAATGTGTTCAGTAATATTATATAATATTATATTATACACCTATTTTTCCTGTCACCACGATAAGAATCACTTATGACTGCTGATATAGCATAGATGGAATGTGGTTAGTAGTGGAATCTAGGACGCGAGTTTTGTCCTATTTCGGACTCGTCAGTTGAGTGTACTTGCATCTTGGAGTTAATGTTCACTCCAGAGCTCGAACTCATTATTGTTTGCTTCAAATGCCATCATGTTATCCGCTTGTCTACCGATTCCAGGTAGTCACTGAATTAAGCAGCAGACATGAAATTAAGTTAAATTTGAAATGGTTGGTATTTTTGACTGAAATCCAATCAGTCTTGGTTGCCATATGAATCCCGGAATGAAAAACTCTGGAATGCAGCTGCATCCAGGTGAAGTCCCGAATAGAACAAAACAGGAGTTCTGAATTCTAAATCAGTCGTCGTCAGTGTATGGTCAGACACAAATATATACCGGCTCAATTTGCAGATAGCATGTTCACTCCTATTTACTATATTCATTAGCGGCACAAAGTAATGTGAAGAGCAACATGAAAAATTTATCGAAAATTGATTTCAACATTTTAATTGTACACTACAATTATTTAAAAGGAAACAGAAAATGAGATCTACTAGCTTATGAGTAACAGGAAAGATTACTTCATCAAAACTGAGGAATTACAACATTGATTAAGGGAATATATAGTACTTTGTTATCAGTGTCGGAAAATTATGTTTAGAATTCACAAGGTTGTTAGAATACCAAAGTTATCGATTCAAAATCGTCAGATACAGTAGCGCAATGACTTTATGAATAGAGGAATTGGTTTTCAATTAGTAGATCATCGAATACAATTGCATCTAATATGCTTTCAGCAACTAAGAGGTACCACTAGGTATCATATATGTAAGGTCATGCTTAAAACCGGGTGCACTAATATGTACTTCCTAAGTGAATTGCATTTAAAAATGAGTTGCAAATACAGTGGCTTTAATAGTATAGTTTAAAAATCAAATGTAGTGAACACTTGTGCAATAGATGTGTGAAAGAACGAATTGAACGCACTGAATTTCGATATTTCAATGATTTAAAACTATCTAAATCTAAGCAGAGATGGATGGTGGCTCGCAGTGGAATCTATGGCGCGCATTTCGTCCCTTTCGGGACTCGTCAGGGACCAGTCCAAGCAACCAACATAACTAAACTTGATTGTAAAAGCAGAAAAATCTAAAAGTAATTTAATCGCTAACTACGAGTGGAAAAATTCCAGTAAAAACTGAAACTATACAGTATAAAAAACTAACTTGTTCAACATCTGCTCCATGAAAATCGATTAAGTACTCGGCAACATCTAAATGTCCTAGATGACATGATTCAAAATGAGAAAAAGAGCAAAGTTACCATTTCTACAAGCTACAATGAGACAAGTTTGACCATCAAGTGAATTTTTATGAACTACTTGACCAACAGAACGTGCACATTCTTTTAATGATTTCAAATCACCAGAGATGCAATAATTGAAAATATTTTGCTCTGTAACAAGTCTACTTTCTGTTTTAGAAGCAGTAGCCATCAAATGATTCAACGTCAATGTCTACTTGTGAACCTGATAATATGAAATAAAAACAACGGAAATAACAGTACAGATTGATGTTAAATTTGTCTAAGAAAAGATTACGGATAACGAAAAACCAAATAGTAGAAAATATAAATGAGACACCAACTTTGCAATCTACGAAAAGATGGACAAACTTTGTACATTAACGAAATATTGGTTTAGTACAATCTTGTCAGTTGATGAAGCGGACTTTCCTCTTGATTTTTAAATTTAACTTATTTAGTACGTATAAGTTTATGTACTAACTTCTAAGTTTTATAAGTACTATTTGGTGGCCAAACTGGAGCGCGGTTTAGACCCATGACTAATTGATTGTAAGTCCGTTAGTCAGTTGTGTGCTAGCTGAAAACACTTCCGAGAACTAAAATTCCAAAGTAAGAATCACTAAAACGACAATCTGATACTGTTGAAAACAGAAAACCGGAGGGACTATAATTCATGGACGAACCAATCAGATTTACGATAACAGATCCTGGAGTTCGGCGCCAAACTCTTTATTCAACCGACTAAATAGCGTCTTGACATTTGAGCTGATATCAGTTCATGATGAAAACCCTAAATCTAATCCCTATCCCTAACCATCAACTGCAAATCACAATCTTTATACTTCACACAGGTTTAAAACCTTCATTTAGCCCTGGTTAGTAGGTGGACATTCTCAAGACTATTTTAGTGTCGCTCAAAGGTCGTCCGTAAACTATAGTCTCACCGGAAAATCATATTTACTTTAGGTAATCGGCTGAGTCATATATTTTTGAATAAGTACTATTTATTTAAAATGGGCTCGGGTTAAGACCTACAATCTAGTGATTTAGAGCGATTCGACTCCTAACACTGAGTCATGAATTAAGGTAGTAGTACGTAGTATGGATCAGAATGAAGACAGTCACCGAAGCCATTTCAAAGACTAATTTCTTTTGTTTTACTATTTTCATAGCAAAATAAAACAAGTGGTCCCAGTTTTGATTAGTACATGAATTATAAACTGAATATGCTTTCCGGAACCAGATGTTTAATGGTGCTGTCATAAACCATTTTCATCAGCTCTAAATTAGTATTTCAGGTTTAGGAACAGTTTAGTTAGGCGGTAGCATGATTCAGCTCAGAATCAAGTAAACAAGAAACGATCGGTGGAAGAACTGTTCACATTTGTCTCTTTCTTGATATATGTGAATAAATAATTTATTCTGGCCTGACCCATATTTATTCTGATCGTGAATCTTATAATTTCACTCAACAGATAGGCTGATTCTAGTTAGCACTGCATACCAGTCATCTCAATATTAACAATTTTATTTTATTTAGCAATCCTAAATTCATATGCTATAACTTTAAACGATGAACTTTTTGTAAACCTGGCCACTTTTCAGATTATTAATTTGGATATAAAATTCTAGAACCTGAAGAGAATTTATTGAAAACAATATTTCTCGTCCGTATATTAGTATTTTAATATGACTGAGATGTTTAAATAATTAAAGAGCTGTGGACAATTCATTGTGTTGAAGGAGTCCAATGAGTTCCAGAAGTATGGCGTAAAGTTCATTGGGACGAAAACTGTTAGGGAATTTATCAGCAACTTCATTGACTCAAGTCACCACCCAAAATTATACCATACAATGTTACGACGGAATGGAGTCTACCAAAATAGAAAAACACTAAAACGCCACGTTCTGAACCAGATTGATGCTTTGCATCCTGATATTGAAGAGATGTAAATAAATTATTTTTGCAGAAAATATGCTGTAGACGACCTAGTAGATTATTTGAGAATACTTTTTATGGACTATATTACGAACGTTATGGAACAGAGAGCAGGGAAGAAATGTATCCAGCTATTGAAAGGTCTGGAGAATCAAACAGTTGAAAGCAAATTTCCAGCCTATTCTAAAAGGGATGTCCATAATTTTCCAAGTGTTGAACTAGATAAGTAAAAACTAGAAATATTATCCTTAAGTATGAAATTCCGTGATAAGCGGAATCCCTCTAACCATAAACAGGTATACAGTTTGACAATTTATATAGCCACACGGGATTTAGTTGCGAATTATGATCAACACCTATAACATTTGAAGTCAAATTTTGTAGATTGTTGTTACCAGTATAAGAAAAATTTAACTACAAAAGTATTTTTACAAAAAAGCAAAAGGACGCTTTCAATATGCTTCTAAAGGATGAGACGTTATTGATTACGAAACCTGACAAAGGTTTAGTTGTCCTTCATAGTAAAGGTGATTATATTGACAAAATGGGTAACATTTTGGACGACATTGAAATTTCAAAATCTAACTTACCAGAAGGTGAAAATGAATAATCTACAGTGGACTTAAGATATAAATTCTCTTGTCAAGTTTATATGAACACGAACTATTGTAGCGTAGTGACTTTTCACAACTAGTCAAGTAAACTTCACTACCCATCACCCAGATCGGAGAGTTATAATTGATGGTTAAGTTTATAATTTATGGTCAAACTTTGGGCAATGCTAGAGTGACCTTTAGAATGTCCGTCTACTAACTAGGACAGAGTGCTGTAAACTAGTGTGAGAAATTAGGATTATTATCTACAAGTAATGGTTGTGGTTCGGAACTACATTCGAGGCTTTTATCATGAACTGACACCAGTTAAAAAGCCAAAACGCCATTTGGCTAAATGGATGAATGAATTTCGCACCAAAATCCAAAACTTGATGTCAGGACATCAGATTTAGCTAAATCTGATTGGTTCACCCATAAATTATGGTCTCGCCGATTGATGTTCTCTAAGATTTTGTTCACTCATACAGAGTCGAGTGAAGTTTTCAAAACGGTTATACGTAACACTACTAAAAGGAATCGAACTTAATGTACATTTGGGCTTTTATAGACTACGAAATCCGGAAATACCATGATTAGCGAGTTGGGGTTATTTTTCAATAGGATCCAATACCGGCCAGGCATAAATGGTTGGTTGTATTACGCCGAATGTAACACCCTATGTAGTTATTATAGTCGTTGGTAGAAATTATGATTATTTCCGTTAACCTTACTAATTAATTTCCACTAGTGAAAATAGCCTCTGGATTTATCTAGGAACTATCGGAGGTAAAATCTTATGTCATCACATAAGTGACCTTAAAAGTCATTTGAGATTAAGGAGTCATTTAAAAACAGAAATAGCTAAATATACTCAAAAACTGATGTACATCAAGACCGAAGGATAAGCCTATTTAAATGACTAAATTGACTTTCAGACTGAAAACAAAACTTCATGGTGATTTTATTTCAAAGGTTTACCAGACCTGTGTCTTCAAACGAATACTCCGTAGGATGAACCTACTCACTTGACCGTACAGTCCCAAACAGAGCGCTCAAACTTTACGATTATCAATAGATTCGGATTCAAGTTTGCTCATTGTGGACAGAGGCTGAAAGTTGGTGTTCACCATTTCCTAGAGAGCTTACATGGGTCTCTTGTCCTTTCTCGAGTGAATGAATTTAATTTTTGAACACCATTTCACCCCATTGTATTATCCAATAGCCTGTAGCAGTAAATAAATCCCCGAAATCATTATCTCTGTAAATCTTCGACATTTGATGCTGACCGCATTCGCTTTAATGGGCCCACCTAGCTGAGGGTAATCGGTCACGCCGCGCTTCACACGTACGACCGCTAGACAGCTCATATTGATCACTTCTAGATACATCAATAGTCTTCGCTTCTAACTTTTGATTTGACTGGGTTGGCACATTTAGATTATAAAACTTGTTACTGGTTAAAGTGTTGTCGAATACTTCTATCATCTTTAAGCCAATTACGTGGCAATAAAACCTTTATGCCACATGATGTTTATCCGTTATTTACTAGTAAACATGCTTGTAATGTCCTCCAAGTCAACCTGACTCAAGTAGAGGAAATCGGGAATACACACCAGGTCCAAGGTTACTACATGTTACCCTATACAACATGATCAGATATCCTCATTCCACAATTAAATTACTTAATGAAGTCTAGCTTTGAAAACTTCATTATGTATTCAGAACTTCAGAAATCCAGGAATTACGTCAATAGTCGTCTCATACTTTTTCAAAGATATCCGATCCCGGTTTGGGTCTTATAAGGTATGCATACCAAGTAGTATGTTTCTCACAACTTGATAAATGTTCGCTACAAGACTCATAGGATCCCTGAACCTTTGGCTGTAAAGAACTAGGAGTCACTGACGTTGTTGTCATTAGCCTTTGAATGTCCTCGTAACATCTAGGGTGAAGAGAATTCACTCCTTTTCTCCGAATGCTCCCACGTGGCCACGCATGTACAACCACTATCAGGCAAATCCTATTCACTTCCCTCTCAAGGCGCGGATGTTGCTTAAGAAATTGAGAGGATGAAAAGCGTGTGTCAAGTGCCTTAACCGCATTGATGGATATGGAGGATCCACCAAAAAAATTTGGAAAACCCTGATTCCTAACCGAAGGTGCACTTGAGCTCTAGGATGCTGTGGGACACAAATAGCTTATTAAACAAGTATGGGTCACCGACTACCATAGGGTTGCATCTCCTAGCGTTTCTTCACTTCCTTGTGGATTAAACCTGTAGGTCAAAGGCTCGGGTAGTGGTTCGTTAAGAAAAACACCTGCTTCAGTTTGGGCACGTGAACAGTACCCCAGCCCACACATAAATCAGTGATAATGAAGGCTGTAAGAACTACTCATGCTGAAACGCTTATTAAGCCAAATCGTATTCACAATAAATTGATAACACTTACAGTTATTTCTTTTGTGTTGCACCACTTGTGTACTCTACTTTCTCCCATTTTGCATATCTTATTTTTCAACATATACAGCAGCTTGTCTGAGGTAAAAAAAAATCCTGTCCTATATAAATGGTTTCAAATCATAGACTGATCGAAAGTTGAATGCTTCATCTCAAACATGGACTCAGGATGATCACATTGCGATCAGCTAAGCTGGCGTGGTTGTGTACTAGACTGACACTATTTGTGCCCTGATCAAGCCCTTTCTTGCGCTAATCTTACCTTACTTTTCGCTGGCCAACAAAGTCATCGTCCTAAACATATCGACATCAACAGCTTCTGTTGCAACTTAATACTAAACCGACCTGGTTAGCTGCTAACCCACCTTAAAGCATGGATGAGTACCAGTTGCAATTTTATAACGCCATGAAAACGGTGATTAAAGTCACTTGCGGCTTTACAAAAATTCCTGCCTACAATCTCTGGGTTTCTACAGATCGCCTAGAAATCATTGGAGCCTGTAGCTCTACTCCGCGTAAACGTGCGTTTGACCAAAAACGACGACTGTTACGTAGAGAACCTGTGTGAAGCTTGTGCAAGCAGCAGAGCAACTGGTAACTACCGGAAACCCTTTCAACTCACCCGGGTCACTGGTAGCAAGAAGTCTAGTGTGGGTGAGACAATTTATGAAGGTTACAGGATGCCAGAAACTAACATCTATCGACGTCTCGGAGATGGGCAGAGTTTTTGGAGGAGCAGTTCTAGTGGTCTGCTACCCCGACAACATCGATCAAACTGCTTTACCCTCTATGGCCTATGACGACTGACCCACCAAACGAGGTGAAAGCCCTTGAGGAACTCCGACTCTCAAAGCATTACAGATTACCATGGCCGGATGTCTCACCTACGATCTTTTATAATGATGGTGATGTACCAAAAAAAGATTTCGATTTAACATCAACTGTAGACTTTTTAGAATTAGCTGTAGATAGTATTGAACGCTAGATAACCTATATTGATTATCATCCATTTTCTGCATGACCTAAATTCCTTGGACAGCACTGCTCTCGGGGACTGTCTATTGAAGAATGGTGTGCTTGAAAAGTTCATTAACACCTTGAAAGCCTATTTACAAACACCTCATGCAGAATGAGTACATACAACCAACTCCCTTCATTGTTCCATTCAAGCAATGACCATAGTTGCCTAATCTCACCATTCCTCTTCAACATTGCTACTGATGACGCTCTGCAAACATGTCTGATGGATGTAGGCAATGCTGGTGTAGATTTGTCGCCTGGAAAAAGACTTTTTGACCTTGGGTGCGTTGACGATATTGTCTCGCTGTGTGATGATACCCAATCGATGCAGTCCGCAATTAATTAGTTGGCAATTAGTTTCCCTAGGTATGATATCTGCTTCGCACATTCCACGTACACTTTCGCAAGGCTGACATGATTCTAATTCTGCAATAACTCTGGGTAGTGAGCAGATAGAAGTAGTGGAGAAGTTCGTTTACCTGGGAAGCTGCGTAAGTACTTATGGTGGCGTAAGTGATGAGATCAATTCACGTCTAACGAACGCCTGAATGGATCGTTCAAACATGGATCATGTTTGGCGCTTTTGTGATGTTAGTCTGTCCGTAAAAAAGGTCGGATTTACAACGCGTCGATGAGAGCAATTTATCAAACCTGACCTCTTCGAGATGATGACATTGAACGACTCTTTGTTTTTCATCATCGTTGTCACCGAAGGATTGCTGATATCCGGTAGCAACACCATGTTAGTAATTTTGAGGTTCGGCATCGTGTTTCCGGGCACAGCGACGATAATTCCTCTGGTGCCACTGTCCTGAACAATCAACTTCAGTGGCTTGGATATGTTCTACGAATGTCGTTCCAGAGAATTCCATGTTGTAGAAAAAGTGGAGAGGTGTTCAGTATGACATGGTGTCGTGGTATGAAAGCAAAGTGTACATGCCTGGCTTCCCTTAGTTCTACGCGAATTCCTAGTTGGAGCCATTTAGACGATGCAACACAGTGGCATGAGACGTTATCAGATATGGCTCATAAGAGAAATCAATGGCTATCCTTTTGTAACTTACTTTTACTTTCTTCATAAAAGCAATGTTTACTTCTCCAAATGAAGGAATTCTTTCCGGTTTTGTACTCGTATTTTAATTATCGCTATCATTATTAATATCATTACTTAACTATCGTGTACTAATTTCTGTTCACTGTTGTTCTTTATTTACTATGCGCACTTCACCTTATCTATCACTCCATTGCCTCCTTGTTATTGGGTGGCGCATATGTATTTGGTATACCCTTCTACCAATGTTTATGTTTTCAAATAAATTAATACACCCGGATATTTCCCATGTACACTCAGATGTATTACTTGACAATAATCATAATCTGTACCAGCTTGGCCAAATGTTAAGGTCGCTATACAGTGCCCATGCGACTCCCCTTCGTATTGATGTCGGTCTCGAAAAAAAACAGTTCTCTGATTGTTATAATTCTCTTTCTTACGGTTTTAACCCAGCCATTCCTATTGCTTAGCATTCACGGACACAGATTCATTCGACAAGTCCCCAAATCAGAACACTGTTGAGCAGGAAGGAGATTATATTCCAAATAACAAGGTTAGATGGAAGCAAGAAGCACAAAAGGGAAACCGTTAGTATATTTATAGTTTTTACATATGAGTAAGTATCAGCCAATCAGCGTGCACCAAAGCACTGATGTAGAATAGAGACAGCTTCCTCGATTATTTTTTTTAACAATTCTAATACGGATCTCGTAAGGCTAGCCGGTGGATAACTCTCTAATCTTCTTCTCAAAGCTTTCGTGAATCTGTTTCAGCGAGCAAATACCCAAGATAGAGTGACAACAGTCACCAACCTTGACCTTCACCGTCTTGTTTTTTTCTGGGGACGCTAATCGCTGGAGTGGCACAGCACCAGATTGAATTTCTGTACGCCATATAGCACATCGCCTATGACAACTAGTCGGCTTATGTCAATTTCAACAGTAAACAACTGATTACAACTGCTTGTTAGCTGATAGTTTCTAACGCAGTGGACGTTGCACTGCCTAGATGATAGCGAGCGAAAGGTGAGACGAGGCTGGTTGTATTAGCCAGACAATTCGGTAACGACACTACAATCCAACAGTCAATTAACTTTTGAAATTTGTCAGTATAAAATAAGCTTCTGCTACTTTTGCTGTTCTACTCCAGGTTCTTTAGGTTTACAGTCGAAATCTAGCACAACAGCATTATGACAGCCAAGCGAGTAGAAATGAGTACGTCTGAACTTAACAAGTAAATATCCACGTTAGACGAATATCAACAGCCTGGATATTGAAGACTACGTTGCATTGCAAGATTTAGGTCTTGGTTAGTATTAGTGGCATTTTTCTATGCTACCAGAATAATATTCCTGATTCAGTACTGTGGACTTTCCAGTATAAAACTACCTAGCATATAAGATCGTACGCAGAAATCATATAATTGTCTATCCTGGCTAGTAGCTTACTTTTCATAAACTTTAGACAAACGAGCTGGAATCGAGGACAAATAAGCATCCGATAGTCACAGCGTCTACCGGTTTCATGTGTTTCATTAAGTCACAATGTACACAGAACAACGATTGTTTTCATCACACGGGTTATGAAGGGTTTACGGGCTATTTACAATAATGTACGACATGGTCACCCTTGATTTAGATGCTTTCAGGGTTCAGATATCGTCTGCGTCAAGTAGCCAGTCAAGAGAAATGTGGCACGTAACAATGAAACTGTAGAATTTCGGTCTACTATGATATTAGCGCTGCTCTAGTAATAGACCTAATCGTGGAAATCACATCATCATCTACACCAACTCACTGCGTCGTAACAATTACCAATACATGATATAGAACAATCTTAGACCAGAGACGGAACAATATATTTAATATGAATAAAAGACATAACGCAACATTTAGCAGGGACCACGCCTGGATGGCCGAGCCATGCCATACGACGAACTCCGATGAATTCAATTCCTTATTCCCGCCTTCTCCATTGTTGGGTATTTCCCAGCGTTAAATGTTGAATGTCTATTTTCCATTTTGTCTCGTGTTATGGCTCAATGCTACTACACTACTCTCCCACCAGAATCAACGTGACGTTGGTTAGATACCAATTTGAGTGGGATTGTCGGAGGTTACCAAGAATAATAAGAACCCTCCAGGTGTTGATAAGCTGAAAGATAAATCAAAAAGAAGGCAGCAGTATCTGGTCGGGAAATACATGTAGTAAATTTAACATGTCTGATTGCATGTTCAACACGATTAAAATGAAAATTTAGGTAAATGTTATTCGAGCTAAACATAGTGGGATTATAATCATAATAAAATGACTCCGTGTCGGGATATTTTAATGAGTCGTCGTAATAATAATAATAATAAAACGTAAGATGCGTGTTATTAGTCGTTGGTTAATAACTTAACTTATAAGTAGTAAGTATTTCGTGTTTATAAATATTGAAAGCAATCCATATTGTAAAAATGCTAATATTGGTATTAGTTTCGGTTTCAATTATGAAATTAAATAACGTGAAAAATAATAATTATGTGGATTTTGGACAGATAGATAAGAGCGATTCGTTAAACATGAGTGTATCCGTTAGAGATATGCTCTTGACTCAATGTTCTGATTCGCCATAGACTATTTATTTATATTCATACCTATCGGCTGATGGTGCATACAAGTTAGTTGCAAGTGCCAGTTTAGTATAAGACGGAATGCTATTTCATTGAGATATAGTGATTATAAGTTATTGAAATCAGTTAGGCCTATGTGCCACATTTTTAGGTGATGTGGTGCTGCAAGATGTATTCGTCTAAATAAGTTTTTACAAGATGATTAACAGTGAGTGATGCTCATGGGATTACCAGGAAGAACATAAGTTGTAACCAAGGGGAGTACATTCCCAACTCATCTCTATGATAATGGCTTGAATCTTAGTCAATGTTGGGGTAAATTTAACAGTGATGTCTTCAGTTTGCAGGAGATTTGCTCGACTGCTTATACTGATTGTTTGCATGCATGATTGTGTCGCTAAACCTCCAATTAGACTGACAAGGTTTTGAGATATTTACTGAATGAGCAACGGATAAACATACTGTAATCATCCTTAGTGAATGAAAAGAAAAAACAACACTACTTAATGATAATTATAAGTCAATTTGATGACCGATTTGTTAATAGTTTCGTCAATTTTATCGATCATATTACGTGATTGTCAAGTCATGATAATGCTTTATGACGATATCCTGAAGCCATTATGTCTAACTAATTATAGTGTTGATTGAGGATTAGCCGGTGGAAAAATAGGTATTGTTGCTTTAGGTGATTTGAAATTATCAGAAATTTGTAGCGTTGAAGAAACCGAGCCGCCTAATTATATTATAAATTTCAATTCAAGAATATACATCTATTGTTAATTTTAGTAGTGGGCCCAGGAGTTTAATTTTAAATGTTTGTTTAGCCAACAACTACTTGACAGTTTAGTTAATATGCCAGTGCATTATGATAGCAATTAAATCCGGTGACTTTATTATCTAAACTATGTTCGTGTTATTATGCTACTAATATGATAGACCAATTCATAAACCCAAAAACGAATAGCAATAATGACTATAATGGGTTTATTGAAGATGTTACAGGCGATTCAAATGATTTTTAAATTTAAAAGACACCGAGAAATAATTCAACTCATCTACGGACTAGGTTAACATGCAGGTTGGTGATGTATGTGACAATTTAAAAATAGTAATCATGGCTGGGAAATGTTTTAAAGCTAAGAAAACTTATGGAACTTTAGGTAGGAGTATGAAGCTTTGTACACTTTCAATAAGAAGTTTCTGCATTTAGCCTAATGACACATGTGACAAAAGCAACTGGAAAATATACACATGTTTAGTACAAAAAAAACCATCCAATAAAATAGTTAAACTCGCCTGGATTATTTTTGAAAATTAGATTATTCACTAGACGACATATGTAACGCCATTCGTGAGGAGTAGTAATCATCAAAAAGCATCCAGAATAAAACGTGCATTATGGCAATTAATTTCAGGGTTCTCGGTTCCGCTGATGTTTTTGTCGCTCGCTAGGATCGGAACAATTTGATGAATCCAGATAATTGTGTGGTTGCCATTGAACAAGTCATCTAAAATGACCATATGATTGCAGAAAACTTATAGCTGAAACTCACCGTATGTTTTTGTAGTAATGTCATCCCTGTTGTTTGGCAATCGAACTCGAGAATTGGAAATTAAGTAGGCAGTGGTCGGAAGAAAAGATATTTCAGGATAGTGCATAGTTTAAAAATAGAATGTGTTAAATGAAAGTACACTAAGAATCAGATCCAGATATCTGTTTAGTCCTTGATTGCATTGTTAGCCAATGTATATTTGGGTTATTTACAGGTCATATTTGCTAGAGCTTGATGTTAAAACAAGTTTGTTTCGCTGAAACATGTTAATGCTATTAAAGCTTGTTAACCAACCATCAAAGCTACTTAGTTAATGTAGATGACCAGTTTTTATTATTGATTAAGCTGGTAAATTATGAATAATAATCAATATAGCGTTAAGATAATACATATGAGCATTAATCAGAGGACTATTAGAATAATGGGTTTACATAAGTAAATATCGATCGAAAAAGTTAAAGTGGAAATATGAATGAAGAATAAGAGGTTGCATTTCTTAAGTCGGGCTAACCAATGTATGATTTCGGTCTACTATGATATTAGCGCTGCTCTAGTAATAGACCTAATCGTGGAAATCACATCATCATCTACACCAACTCACTGCGTCGTAACAATTACCAATACATGATATAGAACAATCTTAGACCAGAGACGGAACAATATATTTAATATGAATAAAAGACATAACGCAACATTTAGCAGGGACCACGCCTGGATGGCCGAGCCATGCCATACGACGAACTCCGATGAATTCAATTCCTTATTCCCGCCTTCTCCATTGTTGGGTATTTCCCAGCGTTAAATGTTGAATGTCTATTTTCCATTTTGTCTCGTGTTACGGCTCAATGCAATTACAAAACCATGTATCAGACATCGGCCTTAAAAGAATTAATTTTGATGCTTTTAAACAATTGTAAATAATTCTGACGATTCAACCTGATCGGCATAAGTTCTTGGCCTTTGTTCATACTGTTAAACCCCCGATTATATTAAGTGTATTGTGAGTTGTTCACTACACAACCAATCGATATATACACAAAAGTGACCTAAGATGGATAATGTCAGTTACGGGAATGAACGTTGATATCATATGATTGTGTTGTAAAGAGCTAATACTGACTTATACATTACAGTGGTATTAGGAGGAAGTTGCGGGCCAAAAAGATTACCATGACAAAATATATATTGGTGAAGCCAGCACACTGACACTGTTTGACCTTGTGTAGCCCCATGTGAATTCCATTGGCACAGCTCTCATAGATTATTCGTTGCTGAATAAAACGGCTGTTTGAATGATATAAATTAAAAGCATAAACTCTATTCATTACTTTGTTTTATCAAATGAATTATCAACAATTCAGTCTGTTAACTCATTAATGTGTTGTTATTGAGCTGATCAGCAATTTACTGTTAAATAATTTAGTGTTATTGTTGAGCAGTTAACGTTGATGACCAGTGTAAGTGGTATTACATGGGGTCTTAGGTTCAAGTATCAGCCAGCCATCTTACTCGGCAGTGACAATGTAAATAAAAATATGATTGTAAAGTGGAACCACATTTGTCTATTCATGTTATATAATTAACTGGTGAATGTCAGTTAGCTCTGACCTCCGCAACAGCCGGTAAACAGCACGACATTCAATGACTTACTCCCTGAAAGACTTGGCTAAGTTCCAGTGACATCACTGACACTAAGAAATTAAAATCTGTTTGAAGTATGTTGAGTACATTGTAATTAATTGGCGAAGCCGTTTGAACTAAAGCTTTGCAGCATTTTAAATTCATAAACACAAGCTCACTGTGTGGTAAATAAATCAGAAACTAAATATTGCTCCCACATAACTACGAATAAAAATTACATGAAATTTTAGTCTGTAAGTAAAGTTTTGCCGAAAAACAACAACAGTCTTTTATTATTGTGTACGTAGTTCAAACATGTTGGTTTGTTTATACTAGTCATTTGCATTCAAATATGCATATTGTTCATCAATAACTCGCTTTTGGATGTTGCGTTACTCTGTCTGGAGTTAATTGCTTGGCTTTATTAGGTTATCCGAGGTCCATCTAGTAAAGTTGAGAGTTTTCTTAAGTTGGTTTTGCCTCAGTCACGTGCGTTTATGTAAAATGGTTAATCAGAAGTATGTAAATTGTGACTTTGGATGTACGTATCCAAATGCATGTGGACATGTGTTTGTTAATATTTTCAGTTTAGTTTTCGGAATTAGTCATTAGTTACTCAGACAGTGATATTTATACTAAAATCTGGTTTGTAAGCTAGGTTTAGCTGTTCACCTAGGCAAGTTGTTGCCGCTTAATCTGTGAAAATAGTATTCTTCCCAGACATTTTTCATTAAGTTACAGTGAGCTTTCCCTCTTGACCCTACGTTCGTGTGACTGAGATATCCATTGTATTATGTTTATGCTCGATTCTTATTACAGCTATGCAACTGAGTAACTAGGTCCAATCTTGTACTACTCACCGTAAGTCATACCTCATTATGAAAGCTAGTGAAATTATTCGGTTGTCGAACTCAAATTTGTAAGTTTGACATTCGTATTTGAATATATAGTGGCAGATGATTTCCCAGTATAGATTTTTCTGTGAGACTATAGTGTATGGTCGACCTTTGAGCGACGCTGAAGTGACCTTGGGTGAACACCTACTTATTAAGACTAAATGAGGGTTATAAAGGAGTTAAAATTCTCACTTAAAGTTGATGGTTATGGTTAAAAATTAGATTTCGGGTTTTCATCCCGAACTGACATAAACTATGACGCCAAAACTCTGGCCGAATGTTTAGATGAATTTCGCGCCAAAAATCGTGACTCGTTATCTTATATCTGATCGGTACGTCCACAAGTTATAGTTTCGACCCCAATATTTATGTCGATCTTGTCTCAACGGACAAAACTGAGTGATAGCGCTTGGCCGAGCATCACCAGGTCACGTTTTTCAAATTAAAATGCCACTCTACATAACCAGTTCAATCTATAATTAAACGTGCTATTTCTCCCAACAAATAATCATTCCAACTATCAAATATTTTCAAGTATTGTTTGTCCTTGGTCTTCCATAACTTTTGATTTTTCTGTCTTGCAGACATACACAAGGATTTGGTACCTTCATATCAATTTGACTAGTATTTATTTAGCTTCATGGCCACAGAATTAAGAACAAATGTACAATCAGAAAGAGAGGAACAACCAACTACAGTTGCTGATGTCAATCAGGTGAAAATGTATTTCGAATTTTCCATTAAATAGTCTCCTGGTGATTCCGAAACATGAGAAAAAGTCCAAAACTACATTTACATATTATTTACTCCAAGATATCCGATAAATTGGCTGTGGGGTTATGTTGTGCATACCAGAAAGCCCCTACAGGTTTTTTTGAAGAACCTAAATATATCTGGCTGTTTTATATGTTATCAGTAATCTCAACGAGGTTAACAAGTGTTCATTGATATCTTGAAATAATGACTCAACGACTTTGTGCAAACATGCATATACTGCATTTATTTATTGACTAGCTGACTACCTATAAATTTTATTGATCAAATCGATCCATTCATTTAAAAATGTTTTCTGGTTACATTAACTTTACCCAAATGTAAACTGAATAGACTAAGGAAAACCGAACTGAGATATTGGTCACTGTATATAAATACATTTGCAATCCTATTGAAATGCTAAGAGATGTTAGTTGGAATCTGAGATCTGGTCTCGCTCGCCGACCACCTCAGTTTATAAGGAGAAAAAAATTCCTCTTGTGATAATCACAGAGAAATCAGTTAAGCTAATTGAGTATCTAAAATATCGATCTCAATAATATTTCGACGCCTAACTAGAGCTATTGAATGGTGCACATGGGCTCCAGTATCCTGGAGGAACAAATGGCGTATGAACCCATCGTTGGTCACCGGCTACCATGGGACTGCATCTCCTTACGATGCTCCGTTTCCCCCACCATTGTTCTCTCTCTCTTCCTTTTTTTTTATAATTCCCCACGTCCATTACTTTTTTTTTCTCTTTTCTCCTTGTCTTCAAATTATCATTGTTTTGTGTGGCGCATATATATTTGGTGCCCCCCTGTACCAATATTTATGTGTTCAAATAAATAAATAATAATACCCGGGCAGTATCACAGCCCTCACACAAATCAATTGAGATTCGTGTGGCGCATATGTATTCGGAGCCCCTATGTACCAATTAGTTAGTTAGTTTAACACATAAGTATAGGTACAGGGAGGCACCATATACATATGCGCCACACAAATCTCAATTGATTTGTGTGAGGGCTGTGATACTGTCCGGGTGCCCAAACCGAAGCAGGTGGTTGTCTTAGGGGGCCACACCCCGAGCCTTTGACCTGAACGTCTGACCCACAAGGCAGTGGAGCATCGTGAGGAGATGCAGTCCCATGGTAGCCGGTGACCAACGATTGGTTCATACGCCATTTGTTCCCTCAGGATACTGGAGCCCATGTGCACCATTGATTTGGGGTCCGGTTAAAGCGCCAGACATTCGCTTTTCGTCCTCTCATTTTTGTAAACAACACCCCCGCCACGAGAAGGCAGTGAGTAGGACTTCCCTGGCAGAGGCTATATACGCATGGCCATGTGAGAGCATTTCGAGAGGGAGAGCGGACTCTCCCCACTCTCGGCCGTACCAGGGCATTTGGGGGCTATGAGGGCATTTGGGGGCTATGTACCAATACCTATGTGTTAAAATAAATAAATAATAACAATTGAATAGCTAACCCAAGAAAACCAGGCTGATTTCAGACCTTTATGCGGATGTGTGGACCAAATTTATTTATGTATTTTAACCCATAGGTATAGGTACAGGGAGGCACCAAGTACATATGCGCCACACGAATCTCAATTGATTTGTGTGAGGGCTGTGATACTACCGGGTGCCAAGACCGAAGCAGGTGGTTTTCTTAGGGGACCACACCCCGAGCCTTTGACCTGAAGATCTGATCCACAAGGCAGTGGAGCATCGTGAGAAGATGCAGTACCATGGTAGCCGGTGACCAACGATTGGTTCATACGCCATTTGTTCCTTCAGGATACTGGAGCCAGCCCATGTGCACCATTGGTTTGGGATCCGGTTAAAGCCGATGCCGGACATTTGCTTTTCGTCCTCTCATTTTTGTAAACAACACCCCCGCCACGAGAAGGCAGTGAGTAGGACTTCCCTGTCAGAGGCTATATACGCGTGGCCATGTGAGAGCATTTCGAGAAGGAGAGCGAACTCTCCCCACTCTCGGCCGTACCAGAGCATTTGGGGGAATTTTTTACTGAAAACACCAAATATTCACCCTTCGGCAGGTTCTGTAACATAGGCACACTTTTTGATGCGTGACTATAGTTGCATTCCTTAACCTTAAGGTGTCGTTCAACTCTGTTGATCGTGGGGTTCCGTATCATTGCTCAATCGAGTTTTGCCAACTTGCGTCATTTGTAGCGTAAGCGAAATATCCGTCTTCCAACCAAAGGATGAGCCCACTATCCAACTGTACGCTCTATTTTTGCAGATGCGAATTATGTCCATCAAAAACAGGATATCCGTAGTTTACTAGTATCCAATCATAAGTGCCTTCGAAGCACTTCTCGTGTATTTTGGGACCACTGAGTAAGCATTGCCCGGGTTACGGATCGGATACGTAATAAAGATGGCAAATCAATTGATAAGGTAGTGAATTCTTGTTGATTGGGGTGGTTCGGACATGTGTTACCTATGCCTAGCCTCCGCCTACCTCAGTGCGTGGCGTTTTCAGCTGTAGGAGTTGAGTGGAAGAAAGCTAAGTGCGGCCAAACCAAAACATTTTATCAGTCCATAAAAGTCACTGACAGTTGGACTGAACAATTTTAATAGGTGTAGACTTACATCGTTTGGATCTGTGTGACAACTAGTATCAAAGGTTAGAGACTGAATAAAATGGCATAAGATCGCTTGTTATGGCTCAGGTACATCCATTTTTTGTCTTCCTCCAAATTCTTAAACTTCTGAATTCCTCAGAACTTTCATTTCATTAACTAATGTTTTCGTGGTCTGTATTTTAGATGCATAGTCTTTTCTATTACCACTGATACGGTAACTACCTCTACTACTACTCTGGGATTCAGCCTGTCAATTTCATCTTGCTGTGGTAATAGTTATAGCAACCTGAACCTATTTACATGCGTACCAGGTTTCACGCTGTGACTGACTGATTAGGAGTTAGGATAACAGAATTTTTGATAGTAAAATCTAGAATCTTACAGTTAACATTAAAAAGAGAAACAACTCGAATTTATAAAAGCAACACAATGAAATAACAAATCGCATGATTGTTTTTTTGGAGACCAAATAATCTCGAATAACTACCAATATAAAGAAATGCCCCATAAAATGTACACTAAGTATGTGTTGCTTGATGCCGACCGAACTTGTTGAATGTACGTACCTCTTAGCTGATACTGATAACTGAAATCTATTTGTTCTTATAAATGCAAGCATTTTCGGAAACAGTGATAATCAGTTTAAGTTTCATATTTTACAATTGAACTAGTGCTCTGTTGATAGCTGTCAAACCAATGCCACATGTAATAAATTCCGTTTTATTAATTTTTTTATTTCAACGCATAAGTATTAGCACATAGGGGCTCCGAATACATATGCGCCACAGACGTCAATTGATTTGTGTATGGGCTGTGCTACTGCCGGGGTGCCCAGATCGAGGCAGGTGGTTTACTTAGGGGGCCATGCGCGGGGCCTTTGACCTAGAAGTCTAATCCACAAGGCATTGGAGAAACGTAAGAAGATACAGTCTCAAGGTAGCCAATGACCAGCAATAGGTTCATACGCCATTGGTTTGGGACCAGCGCTTTCCAACTCAACTCCGCCTGTAGCTCTTCCAGAGTTACTGCCGGTCCCAAGCCCGGGTAAAGGAGGAGGGTTGGGCATGGGGTTAGCGTCCCCATCCCGTAGAAACCTAACTCGCTAAAAAAAACGCTAACCAGAAAAAATAACTCAAACCATTTAAACCCTGCCCTGGGAGTTAGAGGTAATATGACGCTTCATGGTGAAAGCCGAGTTCCTTCGGAAGCCACGAGGCCGATGCCCCTTCTAACAACCAGAGCAACAATTTTTATAGGTACATGGAACGTCCGGACAATGTGGGAGACCGGGAAGACCAGTCAAATAGCAACGGAAATGAGGAGATACAACTTGGCAGTACTGGGAATCAGTGAAACCCATTGGACCCAAGCTGGACAACAAAGGCTAAATACGGGAGAGATGCTGCTATACTCCGGTCACGAAGAGGAAAATGCCCCACACACTCAGGGAGTGGCTCTAATGCTATCCAAAGTAGCACGAAATGCACTTGTAGGATGGGAATCTCACGGATCCAGAATCATCAAAGCATCATTCAAAACAAAGAAGGAGGGGATCACAATGAACATTATCCAATGTTATGCACCTACCAATGATAGCAACGACGACGTTAAGGATCAATTCTATGAGAGGCTGCAATCAATCATAGAGAAGTGCCCAAGAAAGGACCTCACCATTCTGATGGGAGATCTAAACGCCAAAGTCGGAATGGACAACACCGGATATGAAGACATCATGGGACTGCATGGACTGGGAGAGAGAAACGAAAACGGGGAAAGATTTGCAAATCTGTGTGCATTCAATAAATTGGTCATAGGCGGTACAACATTTCCACACAAACGTATACACAAAGCTACGTGGATCTCACCGGACCACACCACAGAGAACCAGATAGATCACATTTGCATCAATAAAAAGTTCCGAAGGACAATGGAAGATGTGAAAACCAGGAGAGGAGCGGACATAGCTTCAGATCATCACCTAGTTGTGGCCAAATTGAAACTGAAGCTAAAGAAGAACTGGACAACTGGACAAACAGCACCACAAAGGTTCAATACAGCCTTCCTTCGAGATACTGACAAACTCAATGAATTCAAGGTAGCTCTCAACAACAGGTTCCAAGCCTTACAGGATCTACTGAAGTAAGAAGAAACTACTATGGAGGATAGCTGGAAAGGTATCAAAGAAACATTAACTTCAACGTGTCAAGAGGTTCTGGGCCCCAAGAAACATCACAAGGAATGGATCTCTACAGAAACACTGGACAGGATCAAAGAAAGAAAGAACAAGAAGACAGCAATTAACAACAGTCGAACAAGAGCAGAGAAAGTCCAAGCACAAGCAGAGTACATAGAAGCAAACAAGAAAGTGAAGAAGAGCATTAGAGCTGATAAGCAAAAATACGTGGAAGAACTAGCAACGAAGGCGGAAAAAGCTGCAAGAGAAGGAAATATGAGACAGCTTTACGATACGACGAAGAAGCTTGCAGGGAAATACAGTAAACCAGAGAGACCAGTCAAAGACAAAGAAGGAAGACCGATCACTGAGATTCAGCAACAGCGCAACAGATGGGCAGAATACTTCGAGGAACTCCTGAACAGGCCGGCTCCAACGAATCCACCGGACATCGACGCAGCACACACAGATCTTCCTATAGATGTCAATCCACCAACGACGGAAGAAATCAGAATGGCCATCAGACAAATCAAGAGCGGGAAAGCAGCAGGACCTGACAATATACCAGCTGAAGCGTTGAAGTCAGACATCGAAGTAACTACAAGCATGCTTCATCTTCTATTCAAGAAGATTTGGGAGGAGGAGGATTGGAAAGAAGGACACCTCATCAAGATTCCAAAGAAAGGAGATCTGAGCAAGTGTGAAAACTACAGAGGCATTACACTACTGTCAATACCGGGTAAAGTCTTCAACAGAGTGTTACTGAACAGGATGAAAGACGCAGTTGACGCTCAACTTCGAGATCAACAAGCTGGATTCCGTAAGGACCGGTCGTGCACAGACCAGATTGCGACACTACGGATCATCGTCGAACAATCAATTGAGTGGAACTCGTCACTCTACATCAACTTCATTGATTATGAGAAGGCATTTGACAGTGTAGATAGGAGGACGTTATGGAAACTTCTTCGACACTACGGAGTTCCTGAGAAGATTGTCAACATTATCCGGAACTCATACGATGGACTACAGTGCAAAGTAGTGCATGGAGGACAGCTGACAGACGCATTCCAAGTAAGGACCGGAGTAAGACAAGGCTGTCTACTCTCTCCCTTCCTGTTTCTTCTGGTGGTCGACTGGATTATGAAGACCTCGACATCTGAGAGAAACTACGGCATACGATGGATAGCTCAGAACCAATTAGACGACTTGGACTTCGCAGACGACCTAGCCCTCCTATCACATACACACGAACAAATGCAGATAAAGACAGCCAGCATAGCAGCAGTCTCTGCATCAGTAGGCCTCAACATACACAAAGGGAAAACCAAGGTCCTCAAACACAACACGGAGAACAGCAATCCAATCACTCTTGATGGCGAAACTCTGGAAGACGTGTAATCCTTCACATACCTGGGAAGCATCGTCGATAAACAAGGAGGTTCAGATGCAGACGTCAAGGCGAGGATTGGCAAAGCTAGAGCGGCATTCCTTCAACTGAAGAACATATGGAACTCAAAACAACTTTCAACCAATATCAAAGTCAGAATCTTCAATACGAACGTCAAGGCAGTTCTACTGTACGGAGCTGAAACTTGGAGAACTACAACAACCACCATCAAGAAGGTACAGGTATTTATTAATAGCTGTCTACGCATGATACTCAACATCCATTGGCCGGAAACCATCAGCAACAGCCTTTTGTGGGAGAGAACCAACCAGCTTCCAGCTGAAGAGGAAATTAGGAAAAGACGATGGAAATGGATAGGACATACATTGAGGAAATCATCAAACTGCATTACGAGACAAGCGCTAACTTGGAATCCTGAAGGGAAGCGGAAAAGAGGAAGGCCAAAGAACACATTACGTCGGGAAATAGAAACAGATATGAAAAAGATGAATAAGAACTGGAAAGAGCTTGAAAGGATTGCGCAGGACAGGGTTGGATGGAGAATGCTGGTGAGCGGCCTATGCTCCTTCACGAGGAGTAACAGGCGTAAGTAAGTAAGTAAGCTTTCCAACTCCCCTAGGTCGATTCTCTATACCCACCAACCCGGTTAATGCGCCGGATATTCGCTTTTCGTCCTCTCAGTTCCATGAACAACACCTCTACCGCTAGAGGATAGTAAGTAGAACTTCCCTGACAGTGGCTTTATATACGTGATCATGGTAGAGCATTCCGAGAGGGGGAGCTGACTCGCCCCATTCTCAACCGTACCAGGTCATTTGGGAGCTATTATGTCAGTAAAATTTAGTGGAAACATTTAAACGTACAATTTTTAAATACTATTGTGACTGATTTAATTCTTGACCGATTCTTTTTGATTTCATTTTAATTTTGACAGCCTCTATTAATACGAGGAACTAGTAATACTCTAACAGTTGATAGTGAAAATAATCTACCTTCTTCTAGTCATGGTCCAGTAATCCGATGGGCTGAAGGCACAGTAGATAATGAATTTATGGGTAAAAAAAAGTCGAATTGTTGTTGCATTTATGAAAAACCAAGAAAATGGAATGAATCATCTAGTTCATCATCAGATTATTCTGATCATTCTTCTTCTGATGATAATGATGATATAAATAAACAAAGCACACATAAAAATACACATTGTACAGAACATTGTCGAGGACATACAAAACGATGCTTTCGAAAGAAGAAAAATAATAAAGATACGAATTTGGAAAATTTTGACAAACCAACTTCATCATCATCTGATTTTAATCCAAATGGTTTATGTTCATAATTTAAATAATCGTGTTTAAATATGGTCAATACTTGTTGGGGAAAAAGATATATATATATATATATCCTGGCTGTTTGAATAGTTTAATCTCTTTTATTCGAATACTTATTAGTTTGGTTTGTATTTTGGAGAATATATTTCAATTTGTCCATTCTTTATTCTACTCTTACGTTTCTTCTTTTTATTATTATTACTATTCTGTGAATAATTTCTAATCTGTTGTTAATTATTAATAAAATATCCTACAGATGTATATTTCAGTTGTCTTTTAAAACATTAAATTTAAAATAAACTATAAACAAACTTATTGTCTGGTTTTTATTGAGTATTTGATCTACGTCAACACCTGAACTAAAGATAGGGAGTGAAGTAGTCGTATGCATCGACGACTTCACTTATCTTGGAAGTCTGATCAGTCGTAATGTGGTTGTTTCTGAAAAAAATCTGTGCATGGATTCAGAGAACTCGTTTGGCTTTTGCCAACTTACGTCACCTATGGTGAAGGCGAGATATCTGTCTGTTCATAAAAGGACGAGTATACTATGTGGCAGTTTGTTCTGTTCTATTTTACGGCTGCGAAACACGGCCATTAAGATTAGAAGATACTCGTAAGAGACTAGTGTTAGACCAGAGATGTCTTAGAAATATTGTTCGCATCTGCTGGGATCACCGGGTAAGTAATAGTGAGGTTAGACGCAGGGTTTTAGGGAATGATGATGGTAAATCAGTTGATGAGGTTATGAGTCTTCATCGACTGAGATGTTCGGGCCACGTGTTGCGTATTCCTGAACACCGGTTACCACGACGCGCAATGCTCACTAGTGTTGGGGATGGTTGGGAGAAAGTTAGAGGCGGCCAAACCAAAACGTGGCATCAGTGCTTGAAGTCACTAACTTCTGGTCTGAGCCATATTGGTAGATGCAGACTACTTGGTTGTGGTCCGCGTGGCTATCGTAACCAATGGTTGGATACTGTGGGTGATATGGCTCAGAATCGATCACAGTGGCGTAGATGTATACACTCTCTGTCTTCCCTTAAACTAAGAGATTAAAATCGCTTCATATCTTTATACCAACTAATTATTTATTTCTGTGCCATATCCTTATACACAATCTTTCTTTTATACATTACTACTATTGAAGTAACTACTATGAATTTTGTGTTCATCTTGTTGTTGTTATGAGGTGTGGCAACTTGAACCGATCCGTATATGTGCCTAGTCCTACGTTGCAGCTGACTGATTAACTATGAAAGATTTCACATGAGATTCAAAACTCAATAACCGTTTAGTCTGTATATTATTAAGAGTTAAGTAAGTGATAAATATAATCTAAACTTTGCTAGTTACTAAGATGGTATGTGTATCAATTTTTAACAAGACAAGAGAAGGGTTAAGGAGAGCACCAACTTTTGTTCTTGCTCTCTTTAAAGGGTTAAACTCCAACAATACTTAAGTAAATGATTAATATGTTGTGCAAATTAATTTAAAAAAATGCGTCGACACGTTTTAAAGATAATTTATAAATTTTTGTGGTTTGAATCCAGAGAATTATTTGGTTAAGCATTCACAAATGTGGTTAGAAATCATCCTCCCTTTCTAAACACATCTCATGTTAACAGTAACGTTTTCGGTTTTTATGTATTCAAGTATTCATGTGAATCACCTCCATTGGAACTGAATAGTAACCGACTTTCTTTCCAAGGTCAATTTAAAGGTCGTTAGTAAAATATATATTCACAAAGAGATGCTTGGTCTAGTGGTTTTGCTCGTTTTCTAGAAATATGGCATTGATAATCAATGCCCAAATCATACAGTAACTGAGTTAACAAAGCATGATTGAAAGGAAATTCTGTGTTTTTCAACTAAGGGCATTATGAAGATGTTGTTGATGTACTTTGTGTAGGGAAATAACACACAACTACGTTAAGTAAAATATAATATACGTTAACAGAAACAGAGAAAGCACTGAATTCCCGTTTATGGACGAAGTTTCAAGTAACTTCATACACAAAAAAGACACAATAATATAAGAAGGATACGAAAGAATTAGACCTGTGGAATAACATGGTGCTTAAACAAATACCAAGAAGTGGCAAGTTCAAAAAAGAAATATCTTTAGCTATGACTGGAATGACACAAATGCCTAAATATATTCCAAACTACTTTATATTAATAAATAGTGTAATCCAATCACGCGAAGTATGATAAAGAAATTTGTATTTTTTCTAACAGTTTACAGTAGTTAGAGTTACTGATTAGTAATTATTCCAATAGACAGTAGTATATACAATGAACTTCAGTCATAGGATGTCTTAAGTAAAGAAAGCAAACTGTTATCTTATGTCTAAGTTGTTTATTTGCGTTGCATTCATCGTAAAACTTGCAATCCCTGGGACTAATTTTGATGTGAAATAATATGTGTCCAGTGTTGAGAAGCCCTGATCAATAATAAAGAAGTGATTTTTCACTTCTTATCGAGTTTTCAATGATTGTAAAGCTGTTTTCAGTCATCGGCATAAAAAAGTCGACGTATTTTCAATTTATTTATTAGTGTATGGAGGGTATCTCACATATGAATTTCAAGTGAAGATCAGTGTTAGACAAGGTTGTTTACTCCTTCTTCCGGTGGTCGATTGAACTATGAAGACCTCGGTATCTGACGGGAAGCACGGAATACAATGGACAGCTGGGAAGCAATTAGAAGATTTGGATTTTGCAGATGACCTGGCTGTTCTATCCTATACAAATCAGTAAATGCGAATGAAGACAGCCAGTGTAGCGGAAGCCCCTGCACCAGTAAACCTCATCATAGACAAAAGAAAAGACAGGATAGTCAAATAAAACACGGAGAATACTAACGCAATCACACTTGATGAAAGATGTGGAAACTTTCATGTACCTTGGCAGTATCATTGATAATCAAGAGGAATCTGATGCAAGTGTGAAGGTAATGATTGGCAAAACAAGGACAGAATTTTTATAACGGAATAACATTTGGAACTCAAAACAACTGTCTGTCAGTCAACACCAAAGTTAGGACATCCAATACAAACGGAAAGACAGTTCGTTTGTATGAAGAACTACTATAACCAGACTTAAAGATGGACAAGTTTTATAAACAATTGTCTACACAGGATACCATCATCAACAACCTATTGTGGTTGAAGATAAACGAATTTTCGAATGAAGGGGAAATTAAGGCTGTGTAGGTGTAAAAGCCACATATTTTGAAAATCATCAAACTGGATCATAGACTAAGTTCTAACTTGAAATTCTTGAGCAAAAGTAACCGAAGCAGACCAAGGAACACATTGCTCCGGGAATTGGAAGCAAATATTTAAAGGATTTACAGAACTTGGAACCAACTTGAAAGGAGAAACCAGAATAGAGTTGACTGGAGAATACTAGTCGACGCTCTATGCTCCACGAGGCGTAACATGCATGCATAAGTAAATAAGATTATCTTTCTTATTACGCATAAAAACAATTAAATGTTAGGATTATATTAACTAAAGCGAAAAGTCGGACATAGGAAATTTACTATACTATGTACTATGTGTTGGAGGGGTCCAGGAAACTCGAAAAAACCTGAAAAAGGCTCGGAAAATGCTGAGAAGCACCTTATCCAATCACCATTCAATGGGATTTCTACCAGAAACATCTAGAAAGTGAAAAGTCACGTGTCGAGTTTTTGGTTGGATGATTACTTATCCTGCTACCATGTTTAGTAGCGTTCTATAAACCCAAGGCCATCTAAAATACTGTAAACACCCTAGATTTCCTGTATATAAACGAACCTTTGGAGTAAAGCGTTTCCTGCCATGTTTCGCGACAACTCTCTAGTGTTCAAGTCGCTATGTAGATTTAGCCTGGGAATTACTAGAAGAGTTTAGGAAATCGAATATAGTATTCAATTAGTAAGACTTATCACTATACTATACTAATGTATTTGTAACATCGTGATGAGTAGGAAAATTAAAATTTCGGATCATTTTGTTGGGGTGATCCAGAAAACTTCTCACAAAAGACAAGAAAGGTTCAGGAAACACTAAGATTCATTTTATCCAATCAGCGTTCAGTAGAAGTTTAGCCAGAATCATCAGGAAAGTGAAAAGTCACATGTAGAGATTCTGATTGGTTGTTTAGTAGCACTCCAGAATTTTCGGGAAAACCCAAGGCCATCTACAATACTATAAAAACCCTGTATTTTTTATACCAAAACGAACCTTTGGAGTAATGTACTTCTCTCATATTTTGCGCCTTTCCTCTCATGTTCAGGTCGCTGTGTAGTTCTAGCTTGGGGGTTATGAGAATAGTTTAGGAACCGAATCCTACATTCAATTTGCAAGACTTATCACATTTTATGATTCCAATGTAAGCCAGTTGTTCAGTGAATAAATAAACAAACTAAATTGATTTTTCTACTCATTTCATCATTACATATATATTATTGTTATCATTAATAGTTGATCTAGCAAGCCCTAACATGGAATCCTGAAGGGAAGAGGAAAAGAGGAAGGTCAAAGAACACATTACGTCATGATATAGAATCAGATATGAAAAGGATGAACAACAACTGGAAAGGATTTCCCAGGATAGGGTTGTATGGAGAATACCAGTGAGCGGCCTATACTCCTTCACGAGGAGTAACAGGCGTAAGTAAGTAATAATTGATCGAATGCTTAGTTTATATGAAATTATCAAGTTGAACCCTATTAATGATACTTATATGAAGTATAATTCACATTGTGTAAATGGGGACGAAGTATAAGAAGTTAAGAGTAATACAAAATTGAAGATTTGAACAAAGATAATGAATCAACATAAATCTACCGTTGTGATTGATTCATTATAACCCTAACTAACCAAGTAGTCTACACCGAATGATATAGCTCAGACCATTAATCAGAAAGTAAGTATTCATTTAAACATTCATAATGAGCGCCTCAATACTTTTCTAGGCTAACCTTGTTTTTTTCATTTCTCATCATTATATTATCTCTATTTTGATTGACATGCCTATTCCCACTGACTTTGTAGTTGTAGTGATTTATAACTTTTTGAGTCATTGGCTTCCTCCTGCAGAGAGAGAGAGCGAGAGAGAGTATAATGTTGATTATGAGCCTAAGCCTAATAGAGATCCATTAACATACAGAGAGAAATGGAAACATTGTTTTTGATAGAGTTTTGTTCTTTGAGCTGGATGGTTTGGTCGTGGAGCTATTATTAGCACATGCTTCAGGTGAAAGTAAGATGTTCGAGTTTTTCCACACACTTACAGTGAGGAAAAAGGAAGAAAAAAATCT